CTAAATTTAGTTATTTCAATTCTTTTGGGGGGTGGGGAGAAGAGGGCTGGTGGGGTCTGAAGAGAGAAGCCAGCCATTGTCATTCTCCTGGTGGTCTCCTAGGCATCGAAATTGGGGGGAGGGTGTACATAGGATGTTGATTTGAGCTCCTTTCCGAGTTCTTTCAAAGTCTTTACATCCATAGTTTGGTCTAGTGGTTAAGGCACCAAGCTAGGAGGTGAGAGACGGTGAGTTTTAGCCCTGCTTCAGGCATGAAAGCTGACTGGGTGACCTTGGGCCAATCACCAAGTGATAGTGAGTTCTAGTTCTACCTTAGCTGGCTGGGTGACTTTTAGACCAATCACCAGGTGATGGTGAGTTGTAGTTCCACCTTAGCTGGCTGGGTGACTTTTAGACCAATCGCCAGGTGATGGTGAATTGTAGTTCTACCTTAGCTGGCTGGGTGACTTTTAGACCAATCACCAGGTGATGGTGAGTTGTAGTTCCACCTTAGCTGGCTGGGTGACTTTTAGACCAATCACCAGGTGATGGTGAGTTCTAGTTCTACCTTAGCTGGTTGGGTGACTTTTAAACCAATCACCAGGTGATGACGAGTTTGTCCTGCCTAAGCTAACTGGGTGACTTTTTTTTTTTTGCTTTAATTTGTATGCCGCCCTTCTCTGGAGACTCAGGGTGGCTTACAATGCGTTAAGCAATAGCTTTCATACTTTTGTATATTTATACAAAGTCAGCTTATTGCCCCCACAAACTGGGTCCTCATTTCACCTACCTTAGAAAGGATGGAAGGCTGAGTCAACCTTGAGCCTGGTGAGATTCGAACCCTGCAGTAATTGCAAGCAGCAGATGTTAATAACAGTGCTTTAGTCCACTGTACTACAGGGACTTTAGGCCAATCACCAGGTGACAGTGAGTTCTAGTTTCTACCTTGGGCATGAAAGCTGGCTGGGTGACTTTTGGGCCAGTCCGTCTCTCCTCAGCCAAAATCTACCTCACAGGTGTGGTTGTGGGGAAAATAGGAGGAAGGAATATTAGATATGTTCGCCCCTTTTGAGTTATTTTTATAAAACTAATAAAAGCAGGATATAGATTAAATAAACAAACACACAGTTGGAAAGTAATTGAAGACACGGGCTCCATCTGAGATGGTGGATTGGCACCAGGAGGTCTCCAGGTCCATGAGTGGAGTTCCCTCTGAAGAACATCTGGCTACCTATATCGGTTGAGTCCCAAATGGGACAAAACAGATCTTCTACAATAATCCCTCCCTGCCTCTTGAGGGTCAGTGTAAGTAGGATAAAATAAATAGAATAAAAATAGAGAAATTCCCCACCATCATCATCAAAGGAGGAGCTGGAAAACCTGTGAAATACACTCGTTGATAAAAATTTCCACTACCGGTTCTCCAGAACTGGTCAGAACCTGCTGAAACCCATCTCTGATTAAATGTCAATAAACAAAGCACAAACCACCATTCAAACAGTCCCCGTAAAATAATTGAGGCATATACCAAACCCTAAATCTACTCTTGTACAACTCAGAAGCATGATTAGATCCACGCAACAGAGATCTCGACCACGAAAAGAATCTTGTAGGAAAACATTGACAAAACAGATCCCCAAGGAATATTGAGAAGGCCCATAGAGAAATCATGTTCGGAGCAAGGATAACTGTTTTAACTAAAAAGTAGATAAAAAGTAAGTTGTGTATAAATATTAGCCCTCACGTTTTTTTTTAAAAAAACACAGGTTTTAAATGTTTTTTTTCCCCCATGGGAAGGGAGGACAAACAAACTTGTAACTTGGCTACTATTTTGCAAGTTGCAAACTACTGCTTTTGGTTCAGACAGCTTATTCATTCCTGTAAAAATATGTATTTCTTTTATTTTAAAGAGCTGGGACAATAGGTTTCAGCGAAAGTGAAGTATGCAATTAACTCAGAAACAAATCAACCAGCCATTTAAAGGAAAAGGAAACAAGAGGGAGGGAGGGAGGAGATAGAGACAGAAAGACAGACAGACAGAAAGAAAGGGGGGGAGAGAGAGGGAGGGAGGGAAAAAGGAACAAAGGAAAGAGAAGATGGAGAGAGAGACAGAAAGACAGACAGAAAAGTAGAGAAAGAAAGAAAGAAAGAAAGAAAGAAAGAAAGAAAGAAAGAAAGAAAGGAGGGAGGGGGAGGGAAGAAGGAACAAAGGAAAGAGAAGATGGAGAGACAAACACAGACAGAAAAGTAGAGATACAGAGAGAAAGAAAGAGAGAAAGGAAGGAAGGAGGGAGGGAGGGAGGGAGGGAAGAAGGAACAAAGGAAAGAGAAAATGGAGAGAGAGACAGAAACACAAACAGAAAGGTAGAGAGACAGATGAAAGAAAGAAAGAAAGAAAGAAAGAAAGAAAGAAAGAAAGAAGAGAGGCAGAGAGAAAGTGGGAGGGAGAGAGAGAAAGAAGGAAGGAAGGAAGGAAGGAAGGAAAGGAAGAAAGAAAGAAAGAAAGAAAGAAAGAAAGAAAGAAAGAAAGAAAGAAAGAAAGAGAAGACTCGATTAAAAAACCAAGTAGGAAAAAAATCTTAGAGACAACATTTCATGAACAACCTCTTGGGGATTTTTTTTATTATTATCCTGACACAGAAGCTTAAATCTACTAAACATCCTTTCTTCCCCCCTTACTGCTCTATGACTGAAAATCGGAGTGGAGGTGAGGCAGTACACCTGAGCAGGGGGATGCTAAAGAAGAGAGAACATTCTTTCCATTGCTTGTTCCCCCCATCCTTCACTTCCTCCACCAAGCCTGGCCGAGTCCTTCAACGACACTTCCCCTTCCATCATTGCCATCCAGGACAAATCTAGGCCATTTCTGCTAGACACAAACAGGCTAATAACCCATTAGAGGAGCGGAGATAGCCAGCATTTATCTTTCTAGCTGACATGCCATTTTAGGATCAAGTTACAAGGGCTTCAAAAAGGCATTGGAAATCGGTCCACAAATATATCCACAAAGATACAGCCCAGTCCAAATCGAGAAAACAAACAAACAAACATTTCCAGTCCAAACCAAGTAAAAATAAAATATCAGAAGAAAATGAAGAGCATCACACAAAGAGAAATAGAGAGAGAGAGATACACAGAGAGAGAGAGAGATACACAGAGAGAGAGAGAGATACACAGAGACAGACATAGAGAAAGAGAGGCAGAGAGATACAGAGAGAGAGAGAGAGACAGAGAGAGAGAGAGACAGAGATACAGCGAAAGAAAGATACACACAGAGAGAGACAGAGATACACAGAGAGAGAGAAAGATACAGAGACAGACATAGAGACAGAGACAGAGAGACACAGAGAGAGAGAAAGATACAGAGACAGACATAGAGACAGAGACAGAGAGACACAGAGAGAGAGAAAGATACATACACAGAGAGACATACAGAGATAGAGATAGAGAGAGAGAGAGAGAGAGAGAGAAAGAGAGAGATACACACACACAGAGAGAAGATATATATATAGAAAGAGATTTAGAGAGAGAGATACAGAGAGAGAGAGAGAGATACAGAGAGAGAGAGACACACACACACACAGAGAGGGAAGATATAAATATAGAAAGATTTAGAGAGAGAGATAAAGAGAGAGGGAGAGAGAGGCGCACACTAATCTCCCCTTAGAATTATAAGATAACCTTTATTGTCACTTTTTTCCTGTGAACACACTGGCACACAATAACGAATGACATTCTGGGGCCCGCTCTCAAAAGAAAATAAACATATAACCATACACACAATGCACACACATGTACATATGATTGAGATATATATATATACATATTATACATACATTACACACACACATTAATCTCAGTCCATTTTGAAGACCTGGCCTTCAGAGTTTATATACGAATGTGATCGTTTCACGAGGAACGTTGCAGGACTTACCAACAAATCTAAAGCAGCTCTAAAACGCTGCTAAAATGGAAGTTTCCAACTCAAAACGTTTTGCAAAAATCAAAAATTACAAAGCGAATCCTTCTTTTTCGTGCCACGCCAACTCATGGCGGCATCTTTCGTTCTTTCTTTTTTTTTAAAGAGTCCAACTTTGAAACCCAGATGGGAAAGTGGGGAGGGGGATGGGGAAACCATTGGGGAGGTGGTGGATTTCCAAAGCAGAACTAAACTTCTCCACGGTTAAAACGGTGATGGCTGATAATAATGATGAGTCGGGGAGAAACAGCTCTGCCAGCTGTTTTGTGCCTCCAGATCCTGGAAAAATTCTCCTCCCCCTCCCCAATTACCACCCGGGGGGGCTCCTAAAGGATTTCCTCCCCAACTTGACCAGAAATTTGTTGCAAAAGGATGGGGTAGAACGAAGACAGGGGAGGGGGTGGGAAATGGGGGAGGGGAGGCTGGAATGGGGAAAATAAACAAAATCTGGGTGCCTTTTTTTGGCTCGAAGGCCTGCTGATCAGGCTGGCACAGTCTAAGGAACCCAAGATTTAATTTTGCGGCTCAACTGCATCCAAGGTTCCCCACTTCCCAGAAGGTTGTTTACTTAAAATAACACAGCTCAAACACCCTTCTTTACCCCCCCCACCACCACCACACCCCAAATGAAAAGCTGTGGATGGGTGAAAAAAAATTGACCGCAATAATTCAGTTTTGTTTTTGTTTTTTTTTTAAAAGGCCAGCAAAATCATTCTCAATGAGAAAAGGATGTACGTGCCGGAGAAGCCTTACAAAGTCAGAAAATCTTTCCCACCCTCTTCCCAAATAGCATCAGTCCCGAGAGAGAAACCTGCACCGTATTCTCAGCCAAAAAACAAAAACAAAAAAACATTTCTTTCTTTTTTTTTTAAATCTTCCTCCCCTGGAGCAATCCGGTGGTGCTGGCAGCTCACCGGTCCCATGTCCCAGAGGGTTAGAAACCTCCATAGGTCCTTGTTATATATAGATATATTTTAAAGGAAGGGTGGATGGAGGGAAGAGGAAAAGAGAGAGAGAGAGAAAAGAGCTGCATTGGACTTACGTGAAGACGAAAAAGAGCGAAGTTGACCCCACTAATAAGGTGGCTGCGGTAGAGACGGGGATGTATTTTGTCGGTTTAAATCTTTTTCCGATACTGCTGGGCATTCTGTGGATTATACATCACTGTGCGTTAATCCAGAGTATCCGAGAGGCACTGGGGAGCCAGAGAGAGAGCCAGAGAGAGAGAGAGAGAAAGAGAGAGAGAGAGAGAGAGAGAGAAAGAGAGAAGGGGGGGAGAGAGGACTAGGGCGTGGGGGAAGCCCCCGAGATGAAGGTCTTGCACTGCAGCGAGATCAAGCGAGGGGAGGGAAAAAGGGGTAGGAAGAGGAGGAAAGAAAAAAGGGGGGAAATTGAGACAGAAAGGGGGAGGGAGAGAAAGAGAGAGGAGGGAGGGGGGAAAAGGGATGGATAACAGCTGACCTCTTTTGCACAGGAAACTCAACCCACATAAGCCATCCCACTTGGCTGATGTCAACCAACCCCTTAAGGTAGCACTGCAGAGAGAGAGAGAGAGAGATGGAGATGATGGTGCTGGAAACAGATTTAGGAAGCAGCCATAGAGAGGAAAAAAAGGAAACGCCTGAAGCTCATCAGATGCCTCCTCAACCTCCTGCCTCTGAAGGCCTGCTCTCTTGCGGCTGAGCTGCAGCGGATTCCATCTTCTTCTTCTTCTTCTTCTTCTCCAGACGAGATCCTTCAAGATCCCAACGCATCTTTGCAACCGAACTGCCACCCGGGGAGGCGCAGAGGCAGAGCGAAGGAGAGATCCAGCAGATGGAGAGGAGGAGGAGGAGGATGGAGGAGAAGGCAGAAAGGGTTACCGATTTCTTCGCCCCGCTGGCCATGGGAGAAGTTTTTGGGAGGGCGAAGGAGAAGATTTCCCCTTGGGATGTGGGCGGCCTTCCAAGTGGGTGAAGTCCGAAGGGCCAAGAATGAATCAAAGAAGAAAAAGGAAGAGGAACATAATAACAGCTCCACACCAGATCCAGCTTGCTCCAAAGAGGGGGGATTCTGGAGAACTTGAGACCTTAACATTATTTGATGCTACGTTGCTCCATCTCAGCTTTTTATACATAGTCAACAAGCCTCCTCCCAAAACAAACCCCCACATTTTTGTGTTTTCCATGGGTGGGGTATTACAACTCCCACAATTGTTGAGCTCCATAAGGGGAGAAGAATGAACACTTTGGATCAGGTGTGAAAAAAAACCCTCTCTCTTGGCCTTGCATTTAAACCCTTCTCCTGTTTTTCTTCATGTACTCTGAAAAAATGTTATTTCTCTATTTTATGGTTGACACCCTTTGGCTTCAGCTTGACAATTCCAGGGGAAAAAACGGGGTGGGGGGTAGCAGATTGCTCGATTTAGGGTTTTTTGTGGGTGTATGTACAGGGTGCGAATTACCTTGTGTATTACATAAATGTTGATATATAAATAGCACGACCGAATTATCTACAGAACCCAGGCGGACCTAGCAACAGAGTTCAGCCTGCATTAAGTAGTCAGCCAAGATTAATAAACAGGCTGAATTTTACGATTATCTTAATTTCTCCCACCTTTAGCTGCAAGGGGTTGCAAAGGAAGTGAGGGCCATTTCTGCTCAGGGCTGCAGTTTCAGAATGGGCCTTCTGTCCACGCTGTCTTTCTGGTTGTGTGCCACAGAATAGGGTGGGAACCAAAACAGGCACCTGCCTTTAATCAGCCCAGTCAGAAATGTGAAGGATTCCAGTGCACCCATAAGCAAAAACAGATTTTTTTGTTTTGTTTTGATTTTTTTTTTTTTTTGCTTCCATTCTAACCATTGTTGCAAAATACTGCAATGCATCCTGTTTGGAGCACAATTGGAGGTTGTTGTTTTTTCCCTTCACGGACGGAGTTGGAAAGTTGAACCTTGCTTTATGTTTCAGCGTGGTCATTTGCCCGAAATCTGCCCGCAGGAAGACAACCTGTGGACCGCGTCAGGTTTCAAAGTCCTTTTCGATTGCCGTTGGCAGGAAGTTAGGGAGAAAAAAGCCATGGTGAGCAAGTTCCAGAAGTGGCAGGTTGCCACCACTGCCTTCCCAAACTTGTCTCCCAGATGGGTCTGCCTACAACACGTACAGATGTGTTCGCTTTTTTAAAAAAATTGATTTATATGCCGCCCTTCTCCGGAGACTCAGGGCGGCTTACAATGCGTTAAGCAATAGCCTTCATACTTTTGTATATTTATACAAAGTCAGCTTATTGCCCCCACAAACTGGGTCCTCAATTTACCTACCTTAGAAAGGATGGAAGGCTGAGTCAACCTTGAGCCTGGTGAGATTCGAACTTACAGTAATTGCAGACAGCTGGTATTAATCACAATGCTTTTAGTCTGCTGAGCTACCAGGCCCGTTGCATAATCCACGCGCAATTTTGCACCCGTGATGCAACAGCTGGCGCTTTGTCAGCTTATTGCCCCCACAACTGGGTCCTCAATTTACCTACCTTAGAATGGATGGAAGGCTGAGTCAACCTTGAGCCTGGCAAGATTCGAACCTGCAGTAATTGCAGGCAGCTGGTCTCAATAACAGGGTGTTTAAACCACTGTACTACCAAGGCTCCTTTTTATTCGACATTTACATCTTTAAAATCTTAAAAGTTATGTTTTTACAGCTTTCCAATACTGGCATCTTGAGTAATATCCATTTTATCCTTCGGCCAATTATATACATATGCATTTTGTTTGTTACATACTTATTCAAAGTATGCAAAGGCCTTCTAAGCAGATTTCAGGCAAAAACTCTGGGGAAAAGTGGGGGGGTGGGGAAGGAGATTGAAACTGCAGTTGTCCTAACTGGATCCCTTAAATTCCCATCCCTGCCACTCTTTTTGAGGTAACCTGCCAACCTTCCAAGTGTACGTACACACACACATACATACACACAGGCCTGAAGGCCCTGGGGTGACTTTCACTGGGTTTAGAAGTTAAGCCAGATCAGGGTCGATTCAATACTTAAAAGAGTAGCAGGAAGTCCGAGTAGATGTGGGAAGTCCGAAAGCTTCCAAGATGATGGGAGATGGTGAAGCTTGCCAAGATGATATCATCACCATGATTCAAGTGTGAATTCAAGGTCTTTGGCTTGCCTCTTTAAATGATTCGCTCTGACATGCATCATCACCGGTTGGGGCTTAGCTAGGCGATGAAGGTTCTCGCCCTCGTCCATCTAATTGATTTCGTTAAGAGTTTAAAAGTTGGGTTAACTTCTACGTAATGATATCAAAGCAGTATTGCCAACTCGGTGGGTCTTTTCCTCAAGTTAGACATGTACGTGAGATCTAACCTTATCAACTTACCTGGGGTCCTTGGTGGTTTTCTGGCAGACGTTTTATTAACCAACTAGGTAACATCATCAGTGCTGGTAGGGAGGAGGGTTTGTAAAGGAGGACTGTAGAGTCCTTGGCGCCAAGTTTGGTGGTTTTCTTGCAGAACTTTCATTTCCAAACTAGATAACATCATCAGGGCTACCGGACCTTATTGAGCAAAAGACAATTGTCCTCTGGAGCATCTTTTATCTATCGTACTATCTTTACCTATCTAGCTTCCTTTTTATTTCATTTTTTATGGTTGTTGAGTAGCCCATGGCAAGATAGGCCGCAAATAAATCTGATTGAGAATCTTGCCACCAAGAGCTAGGAATGCTCTTCCTCTGGAGATGATGGGGACCGAGTTTAAGGTTTGGCTGTACTATCTTCAAAAGCTGAGGTAGCCAGCTAATAAAACCACGTTCTCAATGTCATACTCTTCTTCAGATCCGTTTTGTTGTTCCAACAAGCAGTCTCCGAGATTAAGCAGTAAAGGTGCTTGGCAAACTCAGTTGCCAATACAGCACGAAGTTGTACAACGCTGTACAAAGTTACTGTAGAAAACATAGCTTGCAGTGAACATTATCGCAAAATCATATTGATGCAACTGCGCACGCTTTATCAGACCCCTATTTTATTTTCACCTGTTTTGTCAGAAACGGTCATATATATATATTATCTTCAGGTTTTTAGTGCAAAGGCTAATATGCGTATCTTGCAGGCGCTCAGATTTTTTTTTTACCAAGGACCTTGTAGCCTTTATTATCCAAATTTGCTTTCGTTACAATGCAAAAAGAGATGAATTATTCATAACAGCTTCAAATAGCTTACGTGGTTACGATTTAGGGAATAAATCCAACTGATCCACCCCAACTTTACTAATGTCTATGTATTGTATTTATGTTGCAATGCAGTTACGACCCATCCATTAGCATTATTTTGCTATTATTGTGCACAATATTGAGCCATTCTTCAAATTCGTTTCAGGAATCCTGCTAAGGCGGCAAAAATGTCCTAGAAAGAGGTTTGTGTGTGTTTGTTTGTGTATTAACTGCTGGCAACTGCCTGGACATGTCCCTACAGTTTTCTTGGCAAGGATTTTCTCCTTCCTCGAGAGAAAGGGACTGGCCCCAAGGTCACGCAGTCAGTTTCATGCCTTAAGCAGAACTAGAACTCACAACCTCCTGGTTCCTAGTGCTACACGTAGTCCTCGAATTACAAGTTAATTTAGTGACCAAAGTTACGACACCACTGAGAAAGGGGACTTATGACTGTTTTTCACACTTACGACCACTGCAGCATCCCTGGGATTCAAATTCAGAGGCTTGGCAACTGACTCATATTTATGACGGTTGCGGGGTAAAACTTAAACTGTGTCACTTAGCAATGTAAACGTTTAGGCTCAATCGTGGTCGTAGGTCGAGGACTACCTGTATTCCAAACTGGCTCCCTAGACAGGGTTGCAGAAGTGCAAATGATAAAAAACTGCAGCTTTATTTATTTACTCGTACAAGCCAAGCGGCCGACTGTGAGAAACAGAAGTTTGCTGCAGCGCATTCCAGGGTATTGATTTAATAAGCTTCAACCTGCAGTAACTCAAGACACCAATCCGATTTCCAATTAAAAATAAGATGGCACGTATTTCTTTTGTAGCATCTTACTTTATACTCCTGGTTTCTTTTACACAGCATCGTTGAAACATCGTTTTGTTTTAATATATAAAGTTAAACAAACACTATATAAATCCTGTCGGTATGGCTTCGTTTCTCTTTCAGAACATGTTTCCACCATTAAAAAAAAAATTGCAAGGAGAAGAGGCCTTGGAAAAAGCACATACAAGCTTTGCATTTTACAAAGGGAGCGAACAGAACAGGCAACCTGCATAGTACACATTTACACACAGCAACAATGGATGCAATTGTTCCCTTTCTCCCCCTGTCCCCCCCCCTCCCAAACCCAAAGTGACAGATGAGGAGCTGCACTAAAGAGTCACATTCAACAGGTGCTCTTCCCTTCTTCGCACATCATTCACTTTTTATGTCCCAGAAATTACAATACAGTCGTTAAATAGCTCGAAGGGCAGATCAAGTTTACACGCACAAGTTATCCTGAGACCATAGAGATCGACGGTTCTAAGAACCAAAAACACAACACACCAAATTGTAGCTTCCTCCCCCCCCCCATCACACACACACACACAGGCCATTTACATTACAAGAATTAAGCAAAACAAAAAGATGAAGATTAAATTTATTTCAAAGTTAGCCGGGTGCACAGTGCCTCTTTTTTGATAAAATCATTTATAGTGATTTCGGTCTGGAAAAATAATCGTTCAAGGAATGCCCTTTTTACTTTTACTGTTGGGTATACTGACAGGTCCGTGGGACTGGTTGAGGTATTTCTGCATCTCCCTACCTGCAGTCATGCCTTAGTCAAAGTATAATAACGCAAAATAATAATAATAATAATAATAAAAAAATTACAATACTACAGGAAGAAACTAATACATCCATAAAAATGTAATGATGATTGGGGGGAGGGAGGGAGAGACAGACTATCAAGGAAATACTTAAAACATTCCAGAAAAAGATCATGGAAGAGTTCAAACAGTTCTGCTGTTAATTGAACAAAAGGTTTTAATTAAAGTAATGACAAGACGACTGTGCATGTTGTTTTAAACAAGAGAAAAGGAATGTTTTATAGCCACACTCTCAATGCGAGCATGTAAGCCAACGTTTGGCAACACGGAAGATGTGTGGACTTCAACTCCCAGAATTCCATAGGCTGACTGGGGAATTCTGGGAGCTGAAGTCCGCACACCTTCATGAAAGCTGCCACGGTTGAGGAACACCAGAATAAGCTGACATGGAGAACTTGAATCTTTTGAAAGAAGCTAGACCAGGCACTCTCAACTTATATGCAGGACAGACCACCTGTGTTACTTTTGGGGGGAGATTTCTACCGTCAAGAGAAATGGGCCAAGGAGGGAATACAGTTTACAGAACATACACACACCGAGAAAGCCTGAGTTATAAGTAAAAAAAAACTCTCTCTCCCCCCCCACCCCATTTCCAAACACCAATTATTAATCCATTTTGCCACGAGGATGGAAAAGCGACAACATACTAGGTTGGGTGAGCGTAGCCCACGGTTACAGATGCAGAAGCTCATCATACAGAACATTTTTGGTCTCTTAGGGGTGTCCTTGGGCTGTGAATCTTAAACAGGATATTCTTTGAAGTATCAGTGACAATGAGGAGGGAGCCCACAACGAAAACGTTTTTTTGTTACCCAAAAGTTTATTGTTAAATGAGGGAATCATGTCGACTAACGGATGCAAATGCAGACATCAGTGCTTCCCCACCACACCCCCGGTGGCGTTAAGTAAGAAAGGTGATTATTTTTTCTCACAACCAAAAAGTTATCTTAAAAAAAGGTGAATCCCACCCCACCCCGTTTCCCCAGAACACACTATGAAAACGCTATAATCGAGACAGCAAAGCAACAGAAAATGTTATTACTTGTCTTCATACCTACATGGGAGTTTATACTGAAAATTGTTATACAGAAGGAATTGGACTTTCTGCCCCCTTTTTTACACATTAGAGCCTGTCCAGATTTGCAAAGAAAGATTTTTGCTCTTCAAGGGGGGGGGGGGGGAAGAGGAGAAAGGCCTTCGAAACGGCTTTTAAAAAAAAAATCGCATTCGCTGGACATCTCCCGCTTTTGATAATAATTAAAAAAAGATATTATTTCCGCCTTTCTGGCTTGCCAAGGATGACCAAAAGAAACAGCAATATTTTGAAATACGTCATAGGCCATTGTGGGATGACATTAGATTCTAAGGGACATGCCGTTTTTCTCCTAATAAATCTGCGCAAGAACACTTAAGGTCACTCAAACCTCAATTACAAGAAAAGGAACCTTAGCATAACATTTCTCCTTTCAGTCATTGCAACATTCAGCCACAAATGCATCAGAAAACATCTTTGTTACTCTTTTTTTTCCCCTCCAATCAGTAGAATTCAGTTACACTACACCTCACCTAAAATAGGCACCCAAAACATATAACCCAAGGTCACAAGGGCAGCCACACCTGAAGTGTATATAGAAAACCCTGTCCTTTTTCATACCGTTTCCAAAGCTTTATTTGTTCTCTCTCCTGGATGACTATAAATAAGTATTTCCACTATGGAAAAGCGAGTTTTAGCACAGTACATTTTCATGACTGGGGAATGGATCTTTTTTTTTTCCTGGAGAATTCTTCCAAAAGGGCAAAAGCTTAGAAAAAAAAAAAACATTAGAATACAGTTCTTTATAAAGTCCCTTGTAAAAATTAAGAAAAAAAAGAAAAGAAAAAAAAATTAAGAAAAACACAAGGCCCAAAATGATTTATTGCTTTTCTTCAGTCTTTTCCTTGTCTTCTTTCTTCTCCGATTCTTTGCACTCGTCCTTTACAGAAAGGTCTTCTAATTTTTCAGCAATTTTATCAGCGCTATCGTTTTTGTCTGTTTCTGCTAAAAAATGTCGGTGTAGACCATTAGCATTTAATAGGCATTAGCTGGAAACAAGGTTATGGAATGCGGCAGGAAAACATTGTCTTTGTAATAAATGCACGAATGAGTTTGAACTGCAGATACAGAGATATGCCAAAAACTGAACATAACACGAGAACCTTTTGCTAATGTGGTTCAAATATATACATTTTCCAATTTGCTTTGCCTGAATATCTAAGAATTGCTTGAAAGCGTAGCATTTTCACAAGTTTTAACAGTTAAAAATCTGTTCAAGAATTAAATGTGATGTGCCAAGACAACTGGAACAGAAATCCACAAGGAAGGAAATGTTCGTTTTATTCTGGACTGCTACTCTAGCAGACTTAAAAAGCACTGTAACTATTGTAGTCACGCGCAGAGTGAGCCTGCCGATACAGATGAAAATGGAAAACCTATTGACCAGAATACTGTGGGCCTCAACACCTCGGAATTAATAAAAACACAAAAATATTGTTTCATTTGTAAGGCTCTCAAGTCTCGAAACAATTGCTTCAGTTTCCCACCATATTCGACCGGATGGAAAATCATTCTGTCCATTAAAGCTAAAGGTACCTGATTTCATAGACACAGGTATTCCTTGACTTATGACTATAATTCTTCCATTATAAGGACGTTAAATGAATCGCACCCAATTTTATGACCGCCTGCTTTAATCGTTAAGGGAATATGACTTTGACTTTGTTGGAAACCGGCTAAAAAAGTTGCAAACATTGATTGTGTGATCCCAGGACACTCATACACATTAGTTGCCAAGCGCCTGGATTTTGATCATGTGACTGTGGGGATGCTGCAATGGTTGCAAGTGTGAGGACAGGTTGTAAGTCAAGGACTACTTGTACCACGTAACAGCGCACTGATTTTTTTTGAGTAGCAGCCCACTGATTTTTTTAAATTCCATTTTGGTTAAATGATACTGGAATATTTTTATAAAGTTGAGCTAACAATAATAAAAGACAATTGACATTAAGGACGGATATTCCCCAAGACAAATCCTGAATGTATTTCCTACGACTACATGTGAAAGAATGGATGATTAAGGACAACAGGGTTCTATTATTTCTTTTCCAATAAGGAAAAATAAAGAAGCAAAATCAAGAATTGGCACAAAATGAGTATTAAATGGCAGGCCAAGCAAGGGAGAGAGAGAAATTATCTCCCTTCAATGGAATGCGCAATTCTCAGGCCTGCTCTAGGTAACACATATGAAGTCTATACACATCTTACACACTTCTATAAAATATGTGGTGCAGATTTTAATCTCTTCCCTACTTGTTTGTCTGGTTAGGGATTTCTGCAGAAATGCTTCAGATCTCTTGAAGGGCAATATTCCTTTTTTTCAGAAGCAAGCGAATACAAACATCTTACCTTTCTTTCCCTTTTTATCAACTTCACTCTTACATTCTTCGAATTTTGCCTTGAATTTCTGTGCATCTGTTTGAAAGAAGCAAAATTACAGGTCAAGCTGCAGTGGGTTTAAGCAAGCAACTCGAAACACCTAGGAAAGCATGTGCTTCACCAGACCACAGGCTAAGATTCGCATGCAGTGGATACGATTTCAGCCAAATTTCACCTTTTAGAAGCCCTGTTGCCTTTCCGATGGAAAAATTAAGTCTCAGAGCAAAGGGTTAAAACAAGGGTAAGATCAACCTTACAGATTAACAGAGTTGGAAGGGACCTTGAAGGACATCTAGTCCAACCCCCCGCCCAAGCAGGAGACCCTACACCCGTGATGGCGAACCTATGGCACGCATGCCACAGGTGGCACGCTGAGCTATATTGGTGGGCACACGAGCGTTGCCTTAGCTCAGCTCCAGCATGCATGCGCTTTGGGTCTTCTGGGCCCACCGGAAGTGTTTCTGGCCTCCGGAGTGGTGGGGAAGACTGTTTTTGCCCTCCCCAGGCTCCTAGAAAGCCTCTGAAACCTGGGGAGGGCAAAAAAACAGGCCTACCGGGCCCACCAGGCCATCACATGCTAAAAGCGAGAGGAACATGGGGGGGGGGGGTGCACACGGCTGGCGGGGGGGGGGCAGGGCACATAGAATTATGGGTGTGGGCACGTACCCGTGTGACCACCCCGCACTCCCCCCGTTTTTGGCACGCGATGGCAAAAAGGCTAGCCATCACTGCCCTACACCATTTCGGACAAATGGCAGTCTAATCTCTTCTTAAAAGTCTCAAGCTCCCACAACTTCTGAAGGCAACTTCTGTTCCATCAACTGGAACACAATTGAGCCCAACATTTATGTTGCTAAGTGGGACACTTAAGTGAATTTTGCTCCATCGTACGACTTTTCTTCAGTGAACCACTGCAGCTGATAAATTAGTAACACAGTTAAGTGAATTTGGTTTCCCCACTGACTGGGGCACTGCGACCGTCATAAATATGAACCAGCTGCCAAAAATCCAAATTTTGATCCCATGATCATAGAGATGCTGCAGTGGTTGTTAAGTGTGAACAGCGGTCATAAGTCACCTTTTTCAGTGATGTTGTAACTTTAACAACAGTCATTAAATAAAGTCAAGGTAAGTCAAGGACTACCTGTAATTCATTCAGCAGGAGAAAGCTTTGTAACTTCACAGGCTGAGGCCCAGGAAATCTCTCTCTGAATCCGTATTTGCTTCATCCCTTTGCAAATTTCTGAGATACAGGTAATCCTCAACATACAACCAGTCTTTTGGTGACCAACGTTACAACGGCAGCGGAAAAAGTGACTTATGACCATTTTTTCACACTTACGACCATTACACCGTGGTCACAGTATCCAAATTTGGATGCTTGGCAACGGACATGTATTTATGACGGTTGCAGTTTTCTCCAGCTTGCCTTCAGAAGTTGTGGGAGCTTCATCATTGGAAGCTTTCGAGAAGAGACTGGACTGCCATCTGTCAGAAATGGTGCAGGGTCTCCTGCTTGGGCGGTGGGGTTGGACTAGATGACCTACAAGGTCCCTCCCAACTCTGTTAACCTGTGTCTGCATTTCTGGAGTCATGTGATCACTTTTGCCACCTTCTGACGAGCAAAGTCAATGGGGAAGCCAGATTGACTTAATGATCGTGTTACTAACTTAACTGCAGCGATTCACTTAACAACTGTGGCAAGAAAGGTTGTAAAATGGGGCAAAGCACACTGAACAACTGGGCTTTTTTTAAGCAACAGAAATTTTGGGGACAATTGTGATCGTAAGTCAACAACTACCTATGCATCACACCATTGATAACCCTTGTTGTGGCCCGCTAACAGCCAGTAGAGCTGGCAGCAGATTCAGACAGTGAGGAGGTTGGGAAGGAACATGGGCCAGTCCTGGAGTCTGGGGAAGGCTCTGACGAGGGCTCTGCGTCGGAGGTTGAGATGAGGCCAAGGCCAGATGCCAGTTATCAGCTGCCTTCGGAGTCGGACATCAGTGAGGCAGACGAACAGCTGGAGCCTGTTCCCAGTGTGCGGAATTGCCAGACGAAGGGAACAGCTAAAGAACAAGGGTTGACTCAGGAGTAAGGCCACAGGTGGACGGTGAAGGGCCCCTCCCAGAGGGAATAAAAGAGGAGCGAAAGGGGAGTGGAGTTTGCAGGAGACAGTTAGATCATTCCTGCATTCTTGCCAAGTATTGCGGCGTCTGAAAGATATCGGCCTGGCCACTCTCCAAGCTTGATAAAGGTCGGTAATTGTGAACTATCTTGGAAGACTGTGAGAGAGGAAAGACTTTGCTGGAGAGGAATTCACTGTAAATTAAACGAAAGGGGTTTATCGGGACAAGGATTCGGCTTCCTGCAGAACAGCCCTCTAATACACTGGATGCCTTTGTGGTTTAAAAATTTGAGTCTCCGCTCCTGGCACCTTGAACAGATTTCATGGAACAGTGTGTGAGGTTTTCCCATCATTCCTTTAAACCACAAGGAGAGGAAGACCACTTTTTTTAAAAGTCAAATTTTTCCAAAACAAGGAACTTACTTTCTGCATTTAAAAACCGAATTGCCAGAAGCTCTGGTTTAGGACTCTCATCTGCAAAATCAGCATGTGTGTTCCACACCCAGGCCCGGTCACTCCCCGCGTTGGGCTTCAACTCCATTACAGGTGTGACTAAAATGAGGGAGGGGAGGAGTTAGGCACAGGTAATACAGCAAGATAATACAAACGATCAAGCAATATTATAAAGCTGTGAAGAACCAGCAAGGAAGATCAAAAAGTCTGTCTAGAAAAGAACGACTGTCTGAATGTCTATTATCCATATTTAAAATATTGTTGAATATATTTCATAATGTTATCACTATTATTCAGTTTCTAACAGTCCAACTTATAACTCCAAATACAGTAATTGGGCCCTGCATAGTTTTCTACAATCGTTGCCGAACGAAGCTATCAATTTGAAAGAGTTTGTTGTTACAATACCAACATATACAGCAAACTTAATTAGAAGAATACTAAATTACATACTGTAATGGTTTGCACAGATTTTAAGAGTCTTATCTCTCCTCATTAAGAGTCGGATGGTCCCCTTATCTTTGTGCTTCAGGAGTTTTACATCCCCAGTGCCACGTTCTTTCCATTCTGGAAGGTCATTTTCTGATGCGAATCGGAAAAGTTTTGCTCGCCTTCATGAAAAAATAAAATGCAAATAAAAAAAGAGGAATTAATGGCAACAAATATGCCAGAGATTATACTGAATTAGGATCTTTTAGCATCACTAAGATAACTAATTTTCTTCAACAGACAACGCAAACCTGAAAGTGATAGTTTGATAAAAGCCTCTAGAGAAACACCTTTGAAATAAAATGTCTTTAAAATTTACTTTTGGGATGGCTAAGTCAGTTTCAGTCAGGTACAATGGAGTTTAAACACTTTTTAAATTAAGCTTCATGATGAAATAAAATATAGATGAAACAAAAGTTAGGAAAATAAGAAAAGGAGAGAGAAACATGCAAAAAAGTAATGATTTCTGACTTTCTTCAGTGGAGCAGACTAAAAAAATAATACACTGACCTTTTAAATTTCAGAACTTTAAGAGTTACTTCTATCAATTACAAAATCGTTTTAATCATCAAAACCTAAATTCAAATTTTCATTTTCATCCCAGTTTGAAGTCCAGAAGTGGTTTCCAAGTAGAAACAAAACTAGGTAAATTCTTTAATTTAGAAAATCATGTCTGCTAACTCCATCTACTTTACTGTCCTAGAGCCCAACGTTTCCAGCCAGGGGGGAAAGGTTCTGCGTGAGCAGCCAGGAAGCATGCAGCTCCATTTGTGCGTGTGGCATGCATGTGTGCTTGCAAACCCCACACAGACCACTAGTGGGCTGCGGCCCACAGGATGGGGACTCCTGTCCTAGAGTTCCATCACTGAATCTAAACAACTCATTTTGTTAAAAAATTAAGCCTGTCACACAATCACATTTCCCACAAAATTGGGACTTCAGTTTCACACCTGGAAAGTTTATTTCCTGAAAGTTAAGACAGTGAGTCTGCTAATTTAATTGCAGAAAGCTTCAGCTTGAGCTTACATTTTGAAAACCTCCTCCTCATCTTCCTCCAGAGTTTTGATCTCTTGCTCAGGAAGAGAAACGATGGGCTCAAACTGCGGGTCGTGGTTAGAATCATCTGCATTGTCAGTTGCTGAGTCATGCTCCTCGTGTGCATCCTGCAGTGTTAGAGGAAAAAAGCTTGAAATGCATCACAGGCTTATTAGAGAAGATCATTTCAGAGAATTAAGATAGACAGTCTTATAAGCACACCCGTCTGCCTTTCATTAGAAAGCTAACTTAATCCTATTTCATTCTGAAAACGGCAGCAGCAGTTTTTTGTGGGAGTCAACAGAACTGCAAAAGAACAAAGTTCAAACATCTCACAAGCAGAAATCTCCAAATTATGTTTTTAGTTATATTATTACCACTTTCTAAACTTTAGAATGTTTTTAGGTACCTTATCACTTTCTAAACTTCAGAAAAAAACCAGTGCCAGCTTGCAACACCTCTAAATATAGGTATATATGGTGCTCAATTGACATCCAACCGTATTAAAAATATACCCTAATCGGCTGGTGAACATTCTCCCTCCTCCAAGGAATAACCACCCCACAGATTTGTAAAAGGAGTATATAAAAACATCAATAAAAGGATGCTAACTGTCACAAAAAGCTGAGGTTCTATCCAGGAGTCTTTGGCAGTGGTCAGCAGAGAAATAAAAATATAAACTAATTGTGCATTCCCTTGTATTTGGTTTGTAAAACCAAGAATGAGAACAGATTAATTGGAATTTGATGGCTACTATATAAATGAGGACTTTAAAACCTGAAGGTTTTCCTTCTCCAAAATTGAACCTTCTCTGCACTTTATTTTGTACTCAAGGAAAAATACAACCTTGAAACAAATAATGATGCCCAGCGACTTTCACACATTGCAATTTTTTTTTTACAGCAATCTGGTTTTATCAAAGTCTGAAGGCCCAAAGACACCTGCTGCTTTCTTAAAAATTTTCAATCCTGGAAACCTGAAAACCCGATTTCAGGGAATCACTGCTGTTTGTTTAGCCCAGTTCTCAATGGGTGGCCTCCCCCCCCACACTCTTTTCCTGCTGTTCATGAAGCCAAATAAATACTTTTAACGCTTTCTCAGTTTAAATTTCCAACACACACCACCTCCATAGACATAACCCAGTCAACCGAAGCTTCCCCCATCACTTTTTTAAGGCAAAAGAGATCTTGAGTCCAAAACTTTGGCGAACCTAGGAAGCCACAAGAATGTCTGCAAAAGTTTAAGACAGGCATAGAAATTTAATATTCTTTTTTAAAAAAAATGCACCAGGAGAGGAGTAGTTGTACGAAATTTGGACCCTTGTTATGTGTGTGTGTGTGTGGGGGGGGGCAAAATCACCTCTTGGGGGGGAGATGAGCGCCATGAAAATTTAGTAAATGATGGGAGGAGGGAGTAGAAGACACAAAATATGTACTCAAGATATTCAAACGCTGAATGATTAAGGATGTACTTGTTTGTTTAGAAAAAAATAAAAAACTTGTATTTATTTTTTTTTAAAAAAGAAAATTTAATAATCACCAATTTAATAAATAACAATCATTATTGGGGTCATGCATGGAAGGGGATTCCTGGCAGAAAACAATAGGCGGGCATCCCTTTTTTTTTTTGGGGGGGGGGGGGGGGGTCAGGGATGGTTTGCCTTGATATCCAACCAGGGGAAGACAGACCCTCGTAGGGAAGAGGCCATTCTTCTCGGGAGGGGGGGGCTGGCTGGCGGGAATTTTGTGGGGGAGGGGCAGGCTTCGGAATGCCAAAAATTAACACACAAACCCGCCCACAAGCCACGGGGGGGGGCAACTAAAAGACCATCCAGGGTTTTTTTGGGGGAGGGGAGCGATCCGGACCCTTCCCGCCGTTTCCCCCATTCCCCCCCTTCCCCGCGGGGCCAGTGGGCCGCTCCAGAAGGGAGGGAGGGAGGAGCAAAGCACGAGGCCGCAGGATCCGCCGGGAAACTACAACTCCCCGAAGGCCCGGCCGTAGCCGGGCAAAGGCAAGGAATGCTGGGAAATGAAGTCCCAGGCGGCGCTCGCGGTAGGAAGCCTCCCGGGAGGGGGGGTAATAAGATTCGATGGGGGGAGGAGAGAAGATTAAGTGTGGGGGGGAGACCGAGCCCCCCCCATTTAAGGTCCGTGAGGGGAGGCCGCCCGCGCCTGAGGGGCCTAGCAGCGGCGGCGGCGTGGATTCCGCTCCCCCCCTCCCTCCTCAGCGGCTCCGCCTTCCGCTTCTTTCGGCTTTCACCTCACCTTCGTCTCGGCCATGGTGGGGCTGCCGCTCCCCCGTTGGGCTCGCTCCCCGTCGCCGTGCGGCTTCCCGCCTCCGCTGCCCTCTCCCGCCGCGAGCTCCGTCGCTGCGCCGCCTTTGGCTCCGCCCACACGACGCTGCGGACACGCCCACCGCGCTGCTGCCGCCGCCGCAAGGGCTGACGGGAATTTTTTTTTTAAAAAAAAAAAAAAAAAAAAAAGCCTGGGCCTACCTTACCTCGATGGCTTTGTTCTATATAAAACCAAGCGAGGCCCGGTTTCTTTCCCGCCGTTCTCCCGCGGGTGAGGAACGAACTTTCTCGCGTGGGGTGGTTAGGTGGGGGGGGAAGGAAAAGGAGAGGAACGGCGGGGTTTAATTTAGAGCAGCGTGTGGGGAGGCCTCACGCCGCGCGCGCGCTTCCCGCCCTCCTTCCCGTCGGCCCCCGCGCGAAGCCCCCCCCGCCCTCAACTCGACGCTGCGTGGAGGAGGGGCACGCTCACCCTGACGCACGCGCGTGCGCACGAATGCACATACGGGGATTTATTTATTTTTTCTTCCCCCCAGCCCTGCTTAGAGGGAGAAAAAAAAAAAAAAAACCAACCAACCCAAAAAGCCGAAGCTAGGCAGAGCGACGTTGCGCACGCGGCGTCATGCCGGGCCGGTCCTCTTTAGAAGCCCCGCCCTTGTTTCTGCGCCTGCGCTATTCGAGTTGGGTCTTTCCGGGCCCGGCGACGGGTGAGGTGAGTGGAAAGTTCCACGCAGGGAGCGTGGGGGAGCTCCTTGGCCTTCTGGCCCAACATAGGGCCGCCCCTGCAACCTTCCCCAGCCTGGCGCCCTCCGGATGCCGATGGATTGCAAATGCAGGAATGCCCCCGCTTGTAGGAGGCTTAGGTTGGAAGACTCCTGCGCAGGGGGTTCTGGGCGATGTAGTTTTAATGCCCGCCCCCTCCTATGGAAAAACAACTTGTTCAATTGGATTCCTTGAGCCCCTCCCCTCGCCTTTCCTGCTCAAGAACCCTGTTGGTTTCTCAACCTTGGGAACTTTTAAAATGGACTTCAATTCCCAGAATTCTCCAGCCAGCATTTCAATAGGAATCAAAAACCTTTTTTCAAAATGACACCCAGAAATAGCACAAAATTAATAACTTTGTTGCTTGCATCCTTATGATTTATATTGATATTGTTTCCTGAGTGCTTATTTGTACCCTATGACTATCATTAAGTGTTGTACCTTATGATTCTTGATGAAGGTATCTGTCAACTTGCAAAGCTTTCAAGTTGCCATGAGCAGGAGGGAGGGAGAAGTGATAGAGCCGATTGATTTCCCTAACTGAAGTGCATTCCATACATTCTTCCTGACCGCAGTCAGAAGGAGGGTGTTGGATTTCACAGCCAGCCAAAGGGGTTAATTGGAGAATGTGATTTATGACATGGCCAGAGAGGAGGGGAGAGACAGGGTCATAGGGGAACGTAAATCTACGTGGGATTAGTTCTGACTGCATCCGAATATTGCCGAAATGGTGCTCCTAATAAATGACTGTATTTCTTTTGAAGTTCGGCTCATGGCTCATGAATTAATTAGGGCATCTTTCGGAAACTTCACAGTATCTTTTATGTACACTGAGAGCATATGCACCAAAGACAAATCCCTTGTGTGTCCAATCACAGTTGGCCAATAAAAAATCCTACCCTACCCTACCCAACCCAACCCAACCCGGCCAATTGTAGCTGAAGCTGGGCGTTAACAACCACTCACTTTCCCAGCTTTTCAAAAATAGACTGCTTAACCATTGGACTGGGATGATATGAGGGGTTGGACTAGAAGACCTCCGAGATCCCTTCCAACCCTGTGAGTCTATGTTCTTAGATCTTCCTGGATCAACCCTCAGCTTCTGCTTTCTTGTGTTTTTGCTGGTTATCTGGTTAATGATTTGCTAGGATAAGTTTGTTAAAGTTGTCTCCTGTTTCTTTAATACTTTGCATAGAGTACAGCTGCTAAGAGTGGTGCAGTGGCCTAGAGGTGGAACTCTTGCCTCACAATCATGAGCCGGGATTTTGATCCTAGGTCCGTGATGGAGAACCTATAGCCGTCGCCAGCTGTTCTTCCGGGTTCCGTTACACGCATGCGTGCCGGACAGCTGCTCTCTTCCGGGTTTCAATGGTCCGGCGTGTGTGTGTGTACACTTCAGTTTCTGTATTTGGTGCCGAAAAGGTTAACCATCGCTGTCCTAGTTAGAGGCAGATATTTCTCTCTCTGGGCACCATGAGAATATATCTGCTGAACAAAGCTCCACATTGGCAACAGGAAAGGCATCCGGCCAGTAAACTCAGCTCCATTCAGTTACCCAGACTCTACCGCCGCAAGGGATTATGGGGTTGTTAAATGATGATGATGATAGAGTACAGCTGCTGAGCCACTCCATGTCTTGTAGTTATTTTAAAGCTGATTTTTATTACATAACTCTGGCTAAGAGTCACAAAGATTCTCTGTTAATCCTTGCCAGTTTAATTGTGGTTTATTACGTTTTCCGAAGACAATTCATTCGGTTAGTTTTACCCTCAAATCGGGTGAAATTCAAAAATTTTCCCTACCGGTTCTGTGGGCATGGCTTGGTGGGCATGGCAGGGGAATATCTCTGCAAAATCTCCATTCCCTCCCCACTCCTGGGGCCAGCCAGAGGTGGTATTTGCTGGTTCTCCGAACTGCTCAAAATTTCCGCTACCGGTTCTCTAGAACCTGTCAGAACCTGCTGATTAGCACCCCTGCCTCAAATGATCTCCCCTGTGATTTGGTTCAGGGTTTAGTGCTGTGAGGGAGTCAAATCTGTTAATTTTTCTTTATAGAGACGCTGAAATAATGGAAGAAAACGAGGATTGCGTGCGCTCGGTGGATCCAAAATGTACCACTCCGGAATCGACGATCCAAACCGAAGAAACAAATACGGAGAACCCTTCAGATACTTCCAACATGTACAGGTACATTAAAGAGGACTTGTTCACTTCGGAAATCTACAAGGTAGAACTTCAGAATCTCCCCAGATACATCGGCTTTAACGAAGTCAAGAAATTCCTTGCCAAATACGGACTTAACCCGCATAAGATAAAACTGATGGGGAAACAGACTTTTGCTTTCGTCACCTTCAAGAGCGAGGAAGAAAGGGACAAAGCGATGAAAGTTCTCCACGGGGTCCGGTGGAAGAACCGGAACCTGAGCGTCCGCTTGGCCAAACCAAAAGCGGATCCCATTTTGAAGAAGAGGAAGAGAGAGGAAGGCGCCGAAGAGTTGTCGGCCAAGCGTCCGGCTTCATCCAAAGACGGCGAGGAGGAGCCTCTGAGCAAGCAGATAGCGGATGTGGTGACTCCTTTGTGGGCCATGTCCTATGAAGACCAGCTGGTGAAGAAGAGGAAGCAGTGTGAAGAAGTGTTGGCGAAACTGACCAGGTAATTTGATTTTCTGGAAGCTTCATTCCCCTGGTAGATACCTGATCCTGCTGAACTTCTCCATGTTCTGACCCAGCTCCCTAAACATGACAAACCCTCTAAAGCGAACTCAAAAGATGCCTTTATTAGGAGCGCCAGCAGTTAGTCAGACAATGAGGAGGCTGGAGACGATGTGGTGCCAGAGGCGGGGATTCAGCCAGGGACTTCAGAACCTCCAGAAGCTCCCTTATGTGAAGAGGACGAAGAGGAGGAGCCTCTTCTCGATGCACGGGCGCACAGAGCTGCCAAAAGGCAGGAGTGGCTCCTCAGGAGGAGGTCTCCTCAAGAGAAAGGCTTGTGGCTAATTGGTCACTCCCTTAGCCTATTTAAGGAGGAACGCCGACTGAAGCAATTTGCAGGGAACAACTTTAGTTCATTCTCCTTCACGTCTGGATTCTCTGCAAATTGCTTCTGGGCTTTCTGCCAACCATAGTAAGATTGTGATTTAGTTTATCTTTGGATTTCTTGTAGGCTGTTAAGAAAGTTTATTAACAGCCTTTGTTTGAAAAAGTTATTTTAGTAAATTAAGTTTTGTACAGACTTTGTGTGTGCTACGTTCTTTGGGGTTCGTAGCTGGGGCAGAACACGGGGCCCTGATTTTGGTTTAGTCGTTTTCTTATCTCTAATAAACTTTTTTTTTTTGAACTTTTGATTTCAGGGACATGGGAAACAACAACCGAGCGCTGCTCCCATGGTTGTTCCTGCAAAAGGAGAAGCACGATGGGCTTTGTTGCCCCTTGGAGGGAGTGAAGCCATCCCCATTACAGGTCATGCATACTGGGAGTTTCACACGATACCCGTTTCATCAAAGTCAGAGGAAGCAAAGTGCAGGACGTAACTACTCAGTCTTGGTCTTCGCACTGAGTAGTTGCTAAGACACGTAAAGGGTTGAATGGATACAGGTAGTCCTTAACTTAGGGCCGGTCGTTTAGTGACCGTAGTACGGATAGTCCTCGAGTTACAACCGTTCATTTAGTGACCGCTCGAAGTTACCACGGCACTGAAAAAAGAGACTTGTGACTTACAACCGTTGCAGCATTCCCCATGGCTGCAGGTGAGCAAAATTCATAAATTCATATTTATGTCCATTGCAGAGTCTCGGGGGTCCTGGGATCCCCTTTTTGCAACCCTCTGACAAGCAAAGTCCATGGGGGAAGCCAGAAGTCACTCTTAATAACCGTGTGACTAACTTAACCACTACTTAAGTGATTCACTTAACAACTGCGGCGAGGAAGGTCGTAAAACAGGGCAAAGCTCACTTCACAAATGTCTCGGTTGGCAACACAAATCTTGGCCTGCATCGTGGTCGTAAGTCGAGGACTACCTGTACATAGGAAAACATGATAAAAGTAGGGTGTGTGTGTGTTGTTTTTGCATGAATAATGTGCATCATATATACCATATTATCCTGAAATAATAGAAAATACTGTATTTTCCGGACTATAAGATGCATCTAAATTTAGAAGAGAAAAACAACAAAAAAATGTTTTGGGCCTACCTTTTTTGGGGGCCATTTTTTTGGGCCTTTTCCAGTTTTTTTGGCCTGTTTTGGGGGCTTTCCTCCGCCCGTTTTCCAGGCTTTTTTCAGCTTGTTTTCAATACTTTTTCTGGACTTTTTCAGACCTTTTGTGAGGCTTTTTTCGGCCTGTTTCTGAGGCTTTTTTGGCCTGTTTTGAGGGCTTTTTCACCTCATTTTGGGGGCTTTTTTCGGCCCATTGTTGGGGGGGGTTCATATAGTCCGAAAAATAAGGTACTTCTAGCTCGGGTTTTAGATTTTAGCACTGGTCTGCTCTTCAGGCTTGTTTCAATTTAGTCTCTCACAGCTTCTCTGTAATTCCCCTCACAGCCAGGGTGGTTCCCTTAATGACCGCCATATAAAAGATGGTAACGTTGGGTCGGTCGTGAAATGACAAACCGGCATGATTTTAACGACCGTAATTCCAGGCTCAATGGACAGTTGTTAAGTCCAAGGAAGGGGATTCGTTGGCCCAGTGGCTAAGACACTGAGCTTCTCGATCAAAAGGTCGGCAGTTCAGCGGTTCGAATCCCTAGTGCCGCGTAACGGGGTGAGCTCCCGTGACTTGTCCCAGCTTTTGCCAACCTAGCAGTTTGAAAGCAGGTAAAAAAAAAATTTAAAGTAGAAAAAATAGGGGCCACCTTTGGTGGGAAGGTAACAACATTCCGTGCGCCTTTAGCATTGAGTCATGCCGGCTACATGACCACGGAGATGTCTTCGGACAGCGCTGGCTCTTCGGCTTTGAAACGGAGATGAGCACCGCCCCCTAGAGTCAGGAACGACTAGCACGTATATGCCAGGGGAACGTTTACCTTTACCTTACCTTAAGTCCAAGGACTGCCTGTATTCTCACGATGGTTGTGATTGTCGCTCCTCGCGTTCGTTTTGCACCACCCCGGGCAACCTGCCTCGTCCCTGATGGCTCTGTTCTGAATGTTGCCTTGCTTTGCATTTAGACCGAGTACCGCAACAAATGTGAATTTTTGATTGGCTTAGGCCCAAATCAAGACGATAAAACGGTCGGCTTCCGGCTGGGCAAATACAAGGGGGGTTCCTGCGCTGTTGTGGAACCCTTCGAGACCATCCACGTTCCCACGGAGGCAAAAATGGTGGCCAGGGCATTCCAGGACTACATACGGTGAGCCGTCTGCTGTTAATGAGTTTTCAGAATGTTTCTTCTACCTGAGGTTTCTGCTTTCTGTTTCTCCAACTTTGGCTCTTGCACGATAGACAAATATAGTTTGCATACATTGTCTAAAAACGAAATTCAGCGTAGAGAAAAGTAAAATCTTACACTTTAGGCAAGAAAAACCAAAGCGCACATATAGACTGGGTGAAACCAGGCTTAATAGCAGTGACTGTGAGAGGGATCTTGGAGTCTTAGTGGACAAACCAATTAAATAATGAGCTAGCCGTGTGCGGCGGAAGCCAAAAAAGCCAATGCAATCCTAAATTGCATTAACAGAGATATTCAATCAAGATCACGTGAGGTACTAATACCACTCTATGAAGGCTTAGATTAGATTAGAATTATATTAGAATTCTTTCTTGGCCAAGTGTGATTGGACGCACCAGGAATTTGTCTTTGGTGCATATGGTGTCAGTGTACATAAAAAGACAAAATACATTCATCAAGAATCATAAAGTACAACACTTAATGATAGTCATAGGGTACAAATAAGCAATCAAATCATACTAGGAAACAATATAAATTGTAAGGATGCAAGCAAAAAAGTTCGGGTATACAGTCATAAGTGGAAGGAGATGGGTGATAGGAACAATGAGAAGATTAATAGTAATGCAGATTTAATAACTAGTTTGACAGTGTTGAGGGAATTATTTGTTGAGCAGAGTGATGGCGTTCGGGGAAAAACTGTCCTTGTGTCTTGTTGTTCTGGTGTGCAGTGCTCTATAGTGTCGTTTTGAGAGTAGGAGTTGAAAGTTTATGTCCAGGATGCGAGGGATCTGTAGATATTTTCACAGCCCTCTTTTTGACTCGTGCAGTATACAGGTCCTCAATGGAAGGCAGGTTGGTAGCCATGGTTTTTTTCTGCAGTTCTACTTATCCTCTGAAGTCCGTGTCTGTCTTGTTAGGTTGCAGAACCAAACCAGACAGTTATAGAGGTGCAGATGACAGACTCAATAGTTCCTCTGTAGAAGTAAGACCACACCTAGAAATACTACATCCAGTTTTGGTCCCCACACTATGAAAAAGATGTTGAGATTCTAGAAAGAGTGCAGAGAAGAGCAACAAAGATGATGTGGGGACTGGAGGCTAAGTCCGCTCCCAGTCCGCTCCCACAGAGAGGGTCTCCTCAGGGTGCCATCAGCCAAGTTATGTCGGCTGGCGACACCCAGGGGGAGGGCCTTCTCTGTGGGAGCCCCAGCCCTGTGGAATGAACTGCCCCCGGAAATACGTAAGATCTCCGACCTCCGGGTGTTTCGCTGCGCTCTGAAGACCCTGTTGTTCCGCCAGGCCGGGCTATTAACATAACGTTTTAAATTGGGGTATTTTAAATTTCTGGGATTTTAATTGGAGCCTAATTATTTAATGATTTTAAATTTTAATTGTTGTTTTGTTTCTGTGTTTTTAAATAGGCTGTACACCGCCCTGAGTCCTTCAGGAGAAGGGCGGTATAGAAATAAAATTATTATTATTATTATTATTATTATTATTATTATTATTATTATTATTATTATTATTATTATTATTAAAACATATGATGAACAATTGCAGGAACTGGGCATGGCTAGTCTAGTGAAGAGAAGGACCAGGGGAGACATGATAGCAAGTCTTCCAATATTTGAGGGGCTGCCACAGAGAGGAGGGGGTCAATTTATTTTCCAAAGTACCCGAAGGCCAGACAAAGAATAATGGATGGAAATTATTTTTTATTAAGGTCTTCAACCAACCAATGTCTCATTTCTCCTCTTTTCAGAATTAACAAAGATTTTTTTTTTTTCAAAAAAAATAAAACGTTTATACAGCCATGGAGCTCTCTGAACTTGGTTGTTTGCTTGAAACAACCCAACTAGGTAACATCATCAGTGCCAGTGGTGAAATCCACCCCCCTTCTATCCAGGTCGCCCGAACCAGTAGCGCCAGGAAGCTCCGCCCACCCATCTGCGCATGCACAGAAGAGGCGCGCGCGCGAAGTAGCGAAAGTAAGTGGATTTCACCACTGATCAGTACAAGAAAGGCGTGGAGTTTGCTCTCTTTATATATACAGTGACTTGCTCTCAGTTTATATACAGTGGCTTGCCCTGCACAGCACTGAAGATGTTACCTAATAGGGTTATGAAACATCTGCAAGAAAATCTCCAAGCTCAGAGAGCACCAAGGACCCCAAGTTCAACTCTGAACTACAAAAAATCTCTTCTATCGGTATTTATACAGCCAGCTCTTCATCTTACACGGGATGCTGGGCAGCTCCCTATCAACAGTTGCACTTACAATGTCCTGATTTAGTAATTAAGGATTTGTAAATTACAGGTCAACCTCCTACGGCGTTTATAGCCCAGAAACCTACGAAGGACACTGGAAACAGCTAACAGTTCGTACTAGCTCGAATGGCCACGTCATGGCAATTGCCTATTTTAACCCACAGGTAATGATAAAAATTTGTTTTCTATCATCTTTTTGGCAGCTTTTTTGATGTCTCAGGAAACTGCTAATTGTTCTTGGATTGACCGCATGGTTTCCTCAGAGAAATTTTACCTAGTATGATTTGATTGCTTATTTGTACCCTATGACTATCATTAAGTGTTGTACCTTATGATTCTTAACGAATGTATCTTTTTATGTACACCGAGAGCCTATGCACCAAAGACAAATTCCTTGTGTGTCCAACCACACTTGGCCAAGAAAGAATTCTATTCTCATTATGTCCATTAATATATTTTCTTTTTACATAATCTAATTTTCAAATATTTTAGCTTCAATCCATATTTCAATTCTAAGTATCTGTAACATATTCTTCTCTCATTTCTATCTTCCTTAATTTTTATTAAGATGTTGGATGGTATTATTTGAGAAAATTGATGGCTATAATAATTGGGATATCGTTTAAATACCTATAACAATTGTAATAATTTTAATATTTTCAATAATACATTTATCTAAGCAAAAAAGAAAAGAAAATTGAAACGATATAGGATTATGATTTAATTAAATAAGACTTATTTAATTGGCTTTTATATAAATGGTATTGATAAATAGACAGAATTTAGGGAAATAAATTGGGAATTGTATTACGTTGCATTATTTGAATTAAGAACTCTGTTTAATTGTTAAATTGGTATATTTTTAAGATTAGAGATAAAGATTTAAATTTGATGAAGTAATAATTAAATAAAGATTTAATGAATATTATATGAAGTAATAACAAAAGGTAGGGAAGTTTTAGAAATTGAAATAAGATTCAGAAATATAAACAAGAATTCTATTCTAATCTAATCTAAAAATGTCAGCTCTGCTTCAGATGTTATCTTCATTTTTCTTCATTTTCTTTGAAGCCTGCTGTGCTGTTTTAAGACATCTCAGCATCTTTCTGAGTTGTTTTTTTGTGCTTTTTGGGGGGGGAATCTGTAGAAATTAAGCAAAGAAGAACGTGCTACATTGCAATCCTCTATGGCTAAGTACTTCACAGAAGGTCCCGGGAAAGGCAGCGGCATAACATCTTTATATTTTGTAGAAGAAGGCCAGAGGTAACGACAAAATATATTTTTCAGGGTTGTCGGTCATGGGAGGCCATCCCTCCCTACAAGGGAGAAACTATAAACTGCTATAAAATACAGCTAAATGTTCAAAATGCTAAGCATTTAGTGAAAAATGTCAAGGTTCATTAAAAAAAAATACTGTAGACTGAGGGCAACCCAGCCTGTTTTCCCCCCCCCCCAAGATCCAAGAATATTTTTTATTTATTTTACTGCAGTGGTGAAATGTAAAATTTGTTACTACCAGTTCTGTGGGCGTGGCTTGTTGGGGGGGGGGTTAATATGACTGAGTGGGCGTGGCCAACTTTTTTTTTTTTTTTTACTTTTAAAACCATTTTTTCTACAACCTCTTTGGCTGAAGAGGTTGTAAAAAAATGCTTTTAATAGCCTCTGATGATCCCAGCTGAGTTGCCTGATCGGCAGAAGCTTTTTTTTTTTTTTAAGCCTCTGATGATCCCAGCTGAGTCGCGCGATCATCAGAGGCTTTTTTTTTTTAACTTAAAAGCATGTTTTGGCCAAAGAGGTGGTAGAAAAAATGCTTTAAAAAAAAAAAAAGCCTCTGATGATTGCGTGGCTCAGCTGGGCAATGGGGGGGGCAGGGATTTTTGCTACCGGTTTTCCAAACCACCCGCCTCCATCGCTACCGGATCGGGTGATCTGGTCCGAACCAGGAGCATTTCACCCCTGCTTTACTGTCAGAGTAATTAGTTACTGTCAGGAGGGGCTGGAAATAGATTAGAATGAAATGTTAACTAGTGGAATTTTTGCTTCCTGGTTTGTCTATTAGTCCCTTGGGAGCGTTGCTAAATAGCCATCGCCCAATAAAATGGGACCATTTTAAGCTCTTCCATTTCATTAATATGTGAACATTATTTGTGATGACTTAATTGTGCTGTTATAATATGGCAGCTGAAGAATCATTGCATTAATAAGTTCAAGCATCAGCTTAGAGCCGTTTTCTGGCCCTGATTTGTTTTATCCGTGATCTTAATAGTTGAATATGATTTGCGGATGCAAGGATGGCCGTCGCAAAAAACCCTTTTTTCCTGCTTCTTCCCTCTCCAGAAAATCACCGAATCGGGAAGATTTAATTTTGAACAACATCGCTGGTGATAAGTACATACAGGAAGATCTTCTGGGGTTAAAATTCCGGATTTCGCCCCATGCTTTTTTCCAGGTAATTTTTCACGATGTTGTGCTGGATTTGCAGTTGAGATTAACGGATGATCTTTTGAAGTGAATTTTTAGGAAAAGGGAGGAGCTGCCCATTTTCCTAGTCTCCCCCCCCTCAAAAAAAGAGAACAAGAATTTGTCAGAGTTAACTGTAAACCTCCCAGTACATTAAAACTTTAAAGGGTGAAATTACACGAGCTGATTTAAAGGAAGAATTGAAATAAAGAGATTTGCATTGATCGGCATTCAGCGATCTGCATTTTAAGGGCCCTCCATTCTTCTCGCTAGCTATTAAATGATGTAAGTAAGTAAAATAAATCTAGAGTGCTAGTGGACAAGAAGCAAAGGATGGAAACTCATCAAGGAGAGAAGCAACTTAGAACTAAGGAGAAACTTCATGACAGTTAGAACAATTATTCAGTGGAACGACTTGCCTCCAGAAGTTGTGAATGCTCCATTCACTTGAGGTTTTTAAGAAGATGTTGGATAACCATTTGTCTGAAGTGGTGTAGGGTTTCCTGCCTAAACAGGGGGTTGGACTAGAAGACCTCCAAGGTCCTTTCCAACTCATTCTATTCTATTCTCATTTTATACTTGTGTTGGTGGGTGGCGGAGATAAAAAGAAATTGTGACTTTCTTGTAAAAGTCCTGTCGTTTCCTTCTTTCCCCCTCGAGTCCAAATGTGCTTTTATGCTTTTCAATACACAAAGCTGTATTAAGTTTTTCACTGTAACTTTTAATTCGATATTCCGGCAAGTCAAACTGACTTCAACCTGCTGAGATTTTTGCCAGTGGCTTATAAACCCTCCTTGTTAGATGAGTTAATAGCAAGAATAATGTTGGACTCCACAGGTGAACACGAAGGCAGCCGAGGTTCTGTATTCAACCATTCAGGATTGGGCCGACATCAACCAGGAAACCACGGTGCTGGATGTTTGCTGTGGAACTGGATCAATTGGCATATCTCTTGCACAGGTGAAGGAACAGGTTGGCTTCTTATTTCCACGGGGAAGGGGGAGCAGGAACATCACAGCCCCTCTCCCCCCTGCTTAGTATGTAGGCCTAGACCAGGAGTAGGCAACCCGCAGCTCTGGAGCCACATGTGGCTCTTTTCATCCCTCTGCTGTGGCTCCCTGTCGCCGGTCTGCAGAGAAAAAAGGATGCCACGCTAGGAGGAGACTCTATAGGAGGGAACCGGACTTCCGGTCGGCTCCAGAATTGAACTGGGGCAGTGGTGAAATCCAGCCGGATCTATCCAGCTCGCACAAACTGGTAGCACCGGTGGCAGGAGGCTCCGCCCACCCGCTGGGAAATCATGTCCTGTTTTGACCTTTGCGCATGCGTAGAAGAAGCGTGCGCGCTCCCATTCCCAAACCGGTAGTGAAGGTAAGTGGGTTTCACCGCTGAACGGGGGGGCTTCCGGTTAGGACTTTTGTGGCTCTTTTGAGTGTTTAAGGTTGCCGACCGCTGGCCTGGATTTACGACCACAATCAGGACTGGAACTGTCATTGCTAAGCCAGGTAGTTGTGAAGTGAACCGTACCCGATTCTGGTTTTTTTTTTTTTTTTTTTTGCCATCGTTATGCTCATACCCAGCAAAGAGTTAACCGGTTATTGCTTTTTTTTTTTTATTGTGTAGAAAGTGAAGAAAGTTATCGGAGTCGAACTCTGCCAAGAAGCGGTTGAAGATGCCAAAGCAAACGCTCAGCTGAATGGTAAAAATATAATAAATGTCAAAACCTCTTGCTCACTTTCGTCAACTCTGAAGATTTCTAGCAGAACCAAATGCGAGAATAGCGTTCGGTTCTTAGGTACAATGCACCAGTGATTTTCAACCTGTGGTCCGCGGAGACCCTCGCACAGGATCCATGATGTTGTCACGGGGCTCGCGAAGGCTTGGAAAAATGTTATTTAAATCTTGAGTTGAGTCTTGGGGGTCCGTGGCCATGCCCCGTGGTCACAAAAGGTATTTAAAGGGATCTGTGGTGAAGAAAAAGGTTGGGAACCATTGCGGTACACAAACTCTGTAGATTTCCAACTGTAGATGAGGAATTGTGGCGTGGGTATTACTATATTTCTCATGTTAAGACGTTAATATAAACGTGTTCTTTTTTTTTTTTGCTCCCCTTTCAGGGTTGATGAATGTTGAATTCCACTGTGGGAAAGCTGAAGAGCTTGTTCCTCACCTCGTGAATACGTTAGCGCTACACAACACAGTTACAATTGTGGATCCCCCACGAGCAGGTTTACGTAAGTGGGGAGTGGGGGGGGGAACCACAGGGCCGTATTTAAGTAGAACAGTGATGGTTAACCTTTTTGGTGCCGAGTGCCAAAACGCACATGCGTGTGCCCCAATCTCCAAAATGCAATGCAAGCGCCCTGTTGTGGCCCATACGCAGCCTGTGCAGCTAGTAGCTGATTCAGACAGCAAGGAGGCTGGTATGGTGCTGCGCCAGCAGCCTGTGCAGCTGGCACTCGAGTCAGACAATGAGGAGGCTGGAGAAGATGTGCCAGAGGCGGGGATTCAGCCAGGGCCTTCAGAACCTCCAGAAGCTCCCTTAAGTGAAGAGGACGAAGAGGAGGAGCCTCTTCTCGATGCACGGGCGCGCAGAGCTGTCAAAAGGCAGGAGTGGCTCCTCAGGAGGAGGTCTCCTCAAGAGTAAGGCTTGGGGCTAATTGGCCACTCCCTTAGCCTATTTAAGGAGGAACGCCAACTGAAGCAATTTGCAGGGAACAACTTCGTTCACATACCTTCGTGTCTTGTCTTATCAGCTTCCTGCAAATTGCTTCTGGGCATTCTGCCAACCACAGTAAGCTTTCAGTTATTATTCTTTGAATTCTTGGTGGCTATTAATGCAGTTAATTAACAGCTGTTGTTGTAAAGACTGGTTTATTTCGTAAACTAAGGTTTGAACGCACTGTGTGTGTGCTGCGTTCTTTGGGGTCCGTGGTGCATGCGGGGCCCCCCCGCCCCTCGTTTTGGCTTCCAGATTCATTCTCCTGCATTTCTGCCACCCATGCCTTCCCCGATCTCCTCAGTTTCTCCTGCATTTCTGCCGTGGAGGGTGGAACCTGTGGAGCTTGAGGAAGGCAGGGGCGGCAAAAATGCAAGAGAAAGCTAGCGCACGCTGGGGGGAGAAACTGCGGAGATCGGGGAAGGCCCCGTGCATACGCGGCAGAGACCCGAAGACCAGCTGGCCAGCAGGTGGCATGCACGCATGCGCGGTGAAGCTGGGCTGGCGGATGTTGTACCCGGAGAGAGGGATCTGTGTGCCATAGGTTCGCCATCACGGAAGTAGAATTTTAAATTTACACAACGGTGCATGAAAACATGGCACGGCAAGACAAAAAGGGATTGTGCGTGAGAAGCAACCGCTTCTTTGCTTGTAGGTTATTTAGCCACTCTGCCAGTTTTCTGCTCTGATCGGTAAACGGTCTTCTAATTTGCCCCTTACTACTTTTGGGAGGGGGGGGAAATGCCAAATTTGCCTTTTTGAGTTTGGGGGATGAAATAGGGAGATGCTGGCAAAGCGAGTTAGGGTAACTTTGAACGAAGTTAAGCCTTCGTTTTCCTGGTGAAAAGGATCTGTAGAATTACCGTCTGCTCTTTCCTACTTTTCTTTCTTAACGGTGGAGTTTTAACATTCCCTCGTTTGGCGTTAACTGTCGTTTTATTGGCATTGTTGCCTTTTCTCTTGACGGGGGGGATTAAAAAAAACCTGCCTTTTCTTCAAGAGTTGTGGCGGCAGCTAAAACAGCCTGATGTTTATCCAACGGTGTAATTTTCTAGATTCCAAAGTAATCCTCGCCATCCGAAAAGCCGAGCACTTGAAAAAGCTCCTTTACGTCTCCTGCAACCCTCGAGCTGCTATGAACAACTTTGTGGAGTGAGTCTACAAATCATCATTTCCGTCATTTTAGCCGCTGTCTATCCACTGCAGGATGAAGGGCTCTTCTGCATGTTTTCCAACCTGGTCAAGCCCCCCTCCCCCCCCAAATAGGGGGTGTTGATGAGGCAAAGGGGCTTGTGTGGCTAAATGAAATTATGGGCTATGTCATCGGCCGTCTGTATGTCCAGAAGGGTCTCTCTCCCAAGGCGAACAGGCCATGACGGATACCCCAGACTAACACCGAGCACATCTGCCAACCCGAATTGGACCAGAGTGGCAGATTATGGTCCATCCCAGTGATGGCAAACATTTTCGGCACCGAGTGCCCAAACTGGAACATGCGTGCATGTGTGTGCGCCAGAAACTTAAAAGAGCAGCTGGCCAGTGCATATGCGCACACTGGCCAGTTGGTCTTCGGGTTTCTGGCGCTCTGGCACCCCAGTGCTGGTGTTTGCGCGGGCTGGAGCAGCGGAAACCCAAAGACGCGCATTCCTGTTTTTGAGGCTGTTTTCAGGACCATTTTCCGGGCAGTTTTCAAGCTGTGTTCGGGCCGTTTTCAGGCTATTTTCCGGCACTCCAGCACCCCCAAAGACCAGTTGAAAACCAGAAGAGCAACAGGCAACGGCGCGCACGTGCCCAGAGAGGGCTCTGCGTGCCACCTCTGGCACACGTGCCATAGGTTCGCCATCACGGTTCTATCCCTTCCACAGGCCAATCCAATATCAAAAACAGCCCTTGTTCCCCGGAGGCCCTCGGGCAGGGGTATCAAACTCAAAGCCCGCAGGCTCCGTATTCTGCCCGCGGGGTGCTTAGATCTGGCCACCCTGGAAACAATAAAGGACCGGCCCACGATGCCTCTGCCAGCGAAAATGGAGATCGGGAGGGGCCGTGCGTGGCCCTCTCAGTCTTTTTCGGCCACAACAGCCCCCTGCAGCCCTCTGCCAGTAAAAACGGAACTCAGGGAGGCCGTGCGCAGCCCCCCAAGCTCTGTTTAAGGTGGCAGAGGGCTGCAGGAGGCCGTTGTGGCCGAAAATGGAGCCCAGGCAGGCTGTTTGCACTCCCCCAGGCTCCGTTATAGGTGGGAGAGGGCTGGCCACACACTCGCGGCCATGGCCCCCTGAAGTCAAACACAACCCCAATGTGGCCCTCAATCAAATTGAGTTTGACATCCCTGCCCTAGGGCAACTACCCACAGCAATGGGGAAACCTGCCCAAAGGCAGAGGGTGCTTTCAGGACCGTATAGGTTGGGAGTCTACAAATATTAATCTTTTTCCCCCGAAAGCCTAATTTGGGCTGTTCCTTCGCCTATGAAGGTTGCTATGGGCGAATTACTGATTCACGTTACCCCCCCGCCCCTCCAGATGGGCAGAATTGAAACCAGTCCACCCAGCGATGTGGGGTGGGGGTGGGGCCACAAGTGAAAGAAGCAGTCTCAAGTCATCAGATAAAAGGATGAAGATTCATTCTGTGTTTCCTCTCTCCCGTAGCCTTTGTCGAGCACCTTCTCACCGCGTGAAGGGCAGCCCCTTCCGGGTTATCAAAGCAACGGCGGTAGATCTTTTTCCCCACACCATGCACTGCGAGATGCTTTTCTTCTTCGAAAGAATCGAGTATCCAAACAGCAAAGCAAGTAACGCCCCTGCGGGCTCGGCGGAGATTCCAGATGGGAGATCAGTGGAGACTCCAGATGTGAGATCGGCGGAGATTCCGGGTGTGGGATCGGCAGAGATTCCGGATGAGGGATCGGTGGAGACTCCGGGTGTGAAATCGATGGAGATTCCAGATGTGAAGTCCCCAGAAACAACTTCTCCCGAGGCCGACACCACAGACTCCCTCCCGAGAACAGCGATGGGAAGTCCCAGTTAGTAATTCTTTTGGCCCGCCCAGCACAGAAAGGACCTGTGTTTTACTTCCCGATCTTAAAAAGATAGGCCGCTTCCCCCTCCCCTTCCTTTCATTACCCAGCCAGCTTCTGCTTAAATTTTGAAAAAGTAACAAGTTTGAAGTATGTCAATAGTTTAAGGGAGACTGTTGGAAGCAAAGGCCTGAAGATACAATTTCAGACTGTACTTTTTTTTTTGTAATGGTGTATTTTTGAAATCATGGAGCGAACGGGATTAAAGCCATTGGGTGCATTTGTGCTGTGTAACTTTCTTTATGCCTAACATACGATCAAAGCTGTATTTGCCACAATCCAGGTAAATCCTTGATGTACAACCGTAATGCCCGTTACACTCATCATATGGCTGCAAAGCGAGTGACCTTGCGACATGGTTGCAAGTCAAGAACTGTGTGTACTAAGTTCTACTTGGTTAAATGCTGAATCCTAGTTTTATTTAATGTGGTTTAAAGAACCTCAAAAAGACAGCACCTCCAGGAGACTTAGAAAACGGGAAACGTTTTAAGGCAGTGGTCCTGAACCTTTGCTTCACCTCAAGAGTCCCTTTAAATACCTTTTGTGACCACGGACCCCCAAGACCTAAAAGAGTTAAATAACATTTTTCAAGCCTTCACAAGATCCCCTATGTCGTCTCCCAGGCGTCCGCTTACGAGAACCACTGTTTTAAGAGGATTCCCCCTCCTGCCCCAAAGACATAAACTTTTAACTCTCTTCACTCACATGCAGGTGGAAGGATATTTCCTCTGCCAATCACATCACCCTCCCTAGAAAATTGGGCTGCCTGATTCAAAGCCGCTTCTCTTGGTACAAGAGCTTAACGCATTGTAAGCCGCCCTGAGTCTCCGGAGAAGGGCGGCATATAAATAAAAAAAAAAACAAAACAAAAAAAAGAGCAGCTTTTTTTTTAAAAAAAAGCCACAATCTTTGGCTTGGTGCCATGCTGGCGCCCTGCCATCAAAGGCCTTTTGCCCCGATTCTGGAAAATTACTAGCCCAAACACCTCGGCGTTCCCAAAACATTCCAGCGGCATCGCATTGGCTGGATTTGGGCTGGTCATGGGGAGGAGGAAGGGACTGAAGGAAATCGTTCGGTATTGATTGTGTGGGAAACTCAGATTCCACCTGACTTTACTGCAACTAGTAAAACATTTGGTTCACTTCAACCAAATGGGAGTCGAGGGTTTTTCTTCCCTAAGGGATCAGACTGGGGTGGGTCTGACAGCCTGAGAAATTATGATTAGCAGTAGCAGATAATGAATTTTTTTTTAATATGTAATATCAAACTTTTATTGCTGAAAACTAATAATTGGGGGAAACACACAAGTGACGCAAAAGTCGTAACACAGAGGCTCAAAGAATAAGACTTTATAAAGGGAACCAGCCGACCACTTGTATTACTTGACTTATACAATTCATACAGCACCCGGTTAACATTGAGTTGGGTCACATTCATTTTCAAAATACAATACTGCAATTAATCACTGCAAATGGTTCCATAGGACTGACTGACAGACAGGCCAGCTTAAAATTTGGAACACCTCCACTGGCAGACAGAAATTATTTCAGTTTTCACCATCACCAAGAATAGATTAGTATACGATGGAAAAAGACCTAGAGTGAAATACTTCTGTAAGTACGAGCAATGTTAGAACACAGATTTGTTCGCAGCAGTTAAGAATCCAAGGAACCGGACTTAAAATTTTATTGGCGTTATAAATGGATAGCGTCTGATTTTTCAATTAATCATTTCGACAGTTTTCCCACATTTCTCAAGGAAAGAATAAAAAGGAAGAGTTATTTTCTTGAAGGACGGTGCAATGAAAAACAGGCCCATCCAGAGAAATACACTGATTTAATGAGGGTTAAAAGGGGGTGGGGGAAGAGGGAAGAAAGAAAGAGAAACAGCAATAATTTTAAAGGTAAAGGTTCCCCCGCACATGCGTGCTAGTTGTTTCCGGCGCTCATCTCCCTTTCTAAGCCGAAGAGCCAGCACTGTCCGAAGACATCTCCGTGGTCATGTGGCCGGCATGACTAAACACTGAAGGTGCACGGAGCGCTGTTACCTTCCCGCCAAAGTGGTCCCTATTTTTCTACTTGCATTTTTTACGTGCTTTCGAATTGCTAGGTTGGCAGAAGCTGGGACAAGTAACGGGAGCTCACTCCCTTATGTGGCGTGCTAGGGATTTGAACCGCTGAACTGCTGACCTTCTGATCGACAAGCTCAGAGTCTTAGCCGCCGAGCCACCGCGTCCCTGAGGATTTTAATCATTTTAAGGCCTTGCCAAAACTGAAATCCCAAGTGATTTAATTAGAAAAAAACCACAAGTTTATCAAGGAACTGTGAGAAAGTTCTGAATATCTTATCAGACTGCACAGGGATTCATGCAGAAGCTGGAATGAATGGATGCGACGGTGGCTCACAACAGCTTGTATTTTGCGGCATATAATAAGACTCTTTACATGTCGCAAACTATAGTAAAACACCGGCAAGGACGAGAAACACTTCACAGGAATGACAACGAGAAGGGGGTTTGTCCCAGCTGTTATTGCGCACGGTTGAAATGTCTTGCCGAAGACATTTGTTAAAATATAGGTAGTCCTTGACTTACAATAGTTCATTTCGTGACCCGTCCAAAGAGCACTGAAAAACGTGACTTGATGACGTTTTTCACACTTACCTTTCCAGCATCCCCATGATCATGTAACCAAAGTTCACACGCTTGGCAACCGGTTCATATTTATTTATTTATTACATTTATTTATTTAATTTATTAAATTTATATGCCGCCCCTCTCCGGAGACTCAGGACGGCATATAAATTTAATAAATTTATATTAGACTTATGACCGTTGCTTTTTTTCCCCCCACGAGGTCATGTGATCATCTTTTACGACTTTCTCGCAAGCAAAGTCAATGGAGAAGCCAGATTCACTCAGCCTAAGCCAGGGGTCAGCAACCTGCGGCTCTGGAGCCGCATGTGGCTCTTTCACCCCTCTGCTGCGGCTCCCTGTCACTCAAAATATGTGTCGCAGCCGTCAATGTGTGACACCCGCCAGCACGTGATTTATTGAGCTTTTCAACCCCCGGAAGGCCAAGTATGGATAAATCCAAGAAAAGAAAAATTTCAGAAGAAAAGAGAACGTTTAATTCAACTACATATGCTAGTTTTGTGGCCGCTCAAGAAACAGTCAGGCACGGGAAGGGTTTTGTGGCTCCCGGTGTTTTTTTTTCTGTGGGAAAACGGGTCCAAATGGCTCTTTGAGTGTTTAAGGTTGCAGACCCCTGCCCTAAGCGACTAACTTACCAAAGGCAATGATTCACTTAACAACCGCTGCGAGAAAGATCGTAAAATGAGGCAAAACTCACTTGACAAATGTTTCACTTAACCACAGAAATTTGGGGCTCAATTGTGGTCGTAAATCGAGGACTGCCTGTAATGCATAATGTTCTTATACTAGCCTTTGGTTTACAATGACACATCTAGATGTTTTTAAAGGCAGTGGTCACAGGTAAGGCCAAAACCAAATACACTCGACGTTAACAAAAACGCTTCTGGAAAAGAGGCAACTATGATATTCTAAAGAGGACCTGCAAACAAAAAAACAAAAAAAAAACATTCTAAATTTGGGGAAAGAAAGCAATTTCCCTGCCCAAGTAAGAAATCTTGCGTAGAAAAAAAAAAATATCCAACTTCCCCTTGGATCGGTGGTGTTTTTAATACTAGGATAAAAAATGAGAAACTGGCTGTTGGAAGAACAGAAATCAGACACTTAAATGTCATGCTTCATTCTGTGGCAAATTGTGACCTGGGGGAGGGAAATAAATGGGATAAAATTCTACAGGGCTAAAATGTCATCCGAGGGCCCCAGAAATACCTGCAAATATCAAGTGTGTTTTAACAGTTACGCAATTGGATTTGTTTTTTTTTATTCCTACCAAGATTTCTGTTGGAACAAGCTTCCAACTGAAGCAATCTGCCTCCTGCAGAGATAAACGCTATTATGCAACGTTTTATTCAGAGGTTTCAAATATTGAAAGATGGGCTCCAGCATGAGTCAGAAAGCTTAAAAGACAAAATCTCTGGTCTTGGTGACCAACCTAGATTGGATCCTGATTCAAAGATTACTGTGTGCAACCAGCCATGAACGTGGTAAACGCTCATGGCGAGTGACAAGAAGCTGAGCGAGCAAATACAGAACATGGTAATAAATATATATGTGTGTGTTTCCCCGAAAATAAGACACGGTTCTTATATATTTTTTTTGAACCCTGAAATTCAAGGTGTTAGTTATCACCTTTAAAGCGCTCCATGGCTTAGGACCTGGGTACCTACGAGACTGTCTTTTGCCACCAATAGCCTCCCACCGACCAGTTTGTTCTCACAGGGAGGGACTACTCAGGGTACCGTCAGTCAAATTATGTCGACTGGCGACTCCCAGGGGGAGGGCCTTCTCTGTGGGGGCTCCAACCCTTTGGAATGAACTGCCCTCGGAGATACGGAATATCCCTGATCTCCGTGCTTTCCGCCGTGCCCTCAAGACCCTGATGTTCCAACAGGTGGGGCTAAACATACGAACATGTGAATGATTTTTTAAATGTTATCTAATTCTGGGTTTTATTTAATTGACCAAACTAAGTAATAATTTTAATTAGCAATTTTACGATGTTTGTGTGTCTATATTTTTCTTGACTGTACACCGCCTTGAGTCCTACGGGAGAAAGGCGGTATAGAAATATAATAAATATTGCCATGCGCTCAAAAGCCCGATTGGGCTTATTATCAGGGAATGTCTTATTTTGGGGGAAACAGTATATATTTTGAGATACTGGTGCTTTTCTGCATTTCAGATTAGCAGCCCCTTGGATGCAAGTCATGTTGTTCATGAGCATGAAAAGGTTGCTAGCATTGCTTGCTTTTAAGGAACATCAAGGAGTCATGAAACCAGGTATCCATTGCTTATGCAAGATTGGCGACGGGATATTGGATCACCAATCCTTCCTTTTAGTTTTTTTGGGAGAATCTTATTGGGGGTGGGGGGGAGATATCCCAAAAGTGCTTTTTCAAAAGGCTCCTGGACTTTGAAGACGTTTCGCTTCTCATTCAAGAAGCTTCTTCGGTTCTGACGGAACGTTTGGAGAATGGATGGATTTATATTTTCTTGCAGTCATCTGGCGGTTAGCACTCCCTCTGGGAGTCATTCCATCCTCCAGCATTCAGTCAGAACTAAAGAAGCTTCTTGGACGAAAAGTGAAACGTCTTCAAGGAAGAACAAAGTCCAGTTGCCTTTTGAAAAAGCACCTTTGGGACAAGATGACCTGGATCGGGGGTCTCCAACCGTGGCAACTTTAAGACTTGTGGACTTCAACTCCCAGAATTCCTCAGCCAGCTTTGGAGACCTCTGACCTGGATGATTGAGAATCTCCATATTTATTGGGGGAATCATCAAATGGTATGGATTTCACAGTACTTTTTGCTTCTCAAACCTTCCATAACCATGAACCAAACAGGGTTTGTCTTAAGCAGAAAATGTTTACACCTTCATATTCTTTACTTCAACAACAGAATTTACTTCGGTCTTTTTCGAGATACATCTCTGATGTATTTCACTTTACATTCAAATAGTTCCCAAAGCCAGATTTGCAAGTACTAAACAGACAATAAAAACAAAAAAGGCAGTCAACATTAAAAAAAAACAAAAAAAAAACAACCCCCCCACCCCTCAACTTGAAAGAAATCGAGTGATTTTCCTGGCGGGGAATAAATGCTAGGCGTTGCAATTTTAACCGACATGATAAAATATGCAACCTTACTGAACACTGCTGCTTACATTCACAGTTAAAACTGGTAAACTGTAAGAAAACATGGTTATGAGCCCTACTAGCATGAAGAAAAGCTGCAGAGCAGTGCAATGCTTGGCTCACCTTTATGCCAAAGTTTTGTTGTTTACATCTAAGAGAAACCGAAACGTACCTTACAATCTCAGCTTCCTATGTTCGTCTTTGTTTTTAAATGGAACAATGAAAACCATGGAAATCTCAGAGCTGTTTGCAGTTAGTTCTCTGATAATCACTGGATCCATGCTAAAAAATCCCAAGTCTGCGAAAAATTCACTGAGAAGCAATCCTAACTGGCCTAACCTCAGCAGGGCATAAAGCGACACGCATTTGTGTGTCTTTCCTTCAATGCAGCTGTCAAAAGGGTGCGATGAGCGCTTAATTCTTTTGTGCAGAAACACAAGAAACCCTTTCAGAAAACAAGCGCCTGTCGTGTTCCTAAAAGCACGACGAGCGATGCTGGGTTACACATTGGTTCCACTCTTTAAAATGAACATTCTGCATTTAATCCTTAAGCTTTTGGGAAGGATGGGGAGTGAGATTGCCCAGGCGAACAACCCTGCTTTCTGCTTCTCTATAAACGTATGGCCGGGTAGATTTTTGCCCTCCCCCTTGAATAACAACATCTCGAGAAGTACACACAAAACTTAGCATTATCAACCCTGATGCAAACACACAATGCACGTTTGAAGCAGCTTTGACGGTTAGGTTGTTTCCCCCAAAGCAAACCCATTTCTCCTTCAAACCGTTGACAAAGTAAAACATGAAAACCATTCCTAACTTTCGCCACTTGTTTTATTGCTCCAATTCCGAATCTCTCTCATTACACATCCACAGTACAGAGAGGCTCACTGCCAGGCTGAGCAGACTCTACAATTGTGATCTTGGGTTTCTTTCGTGTTTCCTCCTAGAAATATTAAAAATATATATATATACATACACATATATAGAGTTACAGGCTAACTAGCATACGTCAGCAGCAGCAAACATAGAAAAGCGACAGCTCCGACCTCGCAACACACCCACAGCTTCTTAACTAGATAAGAGCCTGAAGATGACAGGGTTGTGAGCCTGTCAAAACGTTGCTATAAGAAAAACTTTTAAGGTACTGGAAGGATTTTAGCTAAGGTTTTAAAGGACCTTGCAGAGTGCTCTGTAAGGATTTTTAGAAGATTTTAAGCTAGGATTTTAACCAGAATTTTAAACATTTTAACTAACTTATTTAACATGACGCGGGAAAACACCCGAGATTTTAATTTTTTGTATATACACACCCGCGAAAACTTAAGAAGACATATATACATAATTATACATATCCTTCATCCTCGCTGGATGCCAACGTTCAAACGTTCCCTGAACAGAACACTAATATCTTGATTTTGCTCCAGGTTATCCTACTTAATACTTCCTTATCGGAAACATCGAAGTGCTTCTGTGGTGAAAGGATTTGCCCGTGGCATCACCATTGATTGGTGGGGGGTGCCCAGTAGGGGGCTCCTTTCGCGTACCTGTGAAGTTGCCCACTGAAATGGTACCCACTAATCTATTTATTAATCTATATTAGTCTTAGGTTATTTACGGGACCGCCTACTACCACAAACAGCCTCCCACCGGCCGGTACGCTCTCACAGAGAGGGGCTCCTCCGGCTGCTGTCAGCCAAGCAGTGTCGACTGGCGGCCCCCAGGGGGAAGGCCTTCTCTGTGGGGGCACCCACTATCTGGAACGAGCTCCCCCCAGAGATACGGAGGATCCCGGATCTGCGCACTTCCCGCCGTGCTCTTAAGACCCTCCTATTCCAGCAAGCCAGCCTGGCCTAATTTTCTCCCCTTTCTTTTTAATTTTTTAAACTGAAATTTTAATTTGTTTTAAATTATTGGGATTTTAATTGTCTTGGGCTAAATTATTTAATTTGGTTTTAAATTGTTTCTAACTTTTGTATTTATGTATTTTATTCTGTGCCTGTTCACTGCCCTGAGTCCTTCGGGAGTAGGGCGGTATATAAATTTAATAAAACAAACAAATAAAACAAGTCTGATGAAAAGAAGGATTAGGCAGTGGTGAAAGGTAAAATTTGTTACTACTGGTTCTGTGGGTGTGGCTTGGTGGGTGGGAGGGGGTAATGTGACTGGGTGGCCGTGACCAACTTTTTTTCTCTTTTTTAAAGCATTTTTTTTAACAACCTATTGGGGCAAATAGGTTGCAAAAAAATGCTTTTAAAAGGTAAAAAAAAGGCTCCGATGATCACAGCTATGGCGCGCGATCGTCAGAGCCTTTTTTTAAAAAACCTTTTAAACGCAGGAAGTAACGACACCCGGCCGGGTGGGCGGAGCCTCGTGCCGCCATCGCTACCGGTTCTCCAAACCACCTGCCACAATCGCCACTGGATCGCCCAATCTGGCCCGAACAGGGAGCATTTCACCCCTGGATTAGGGGTGATATGCTAGCAATGTTCCAATATCTCAGGGGCTGCCCCAAAGAAGAGGGAGCGAAGCTATTCTCCAAAGCACCTGAGGGCAGGACAAGCAGCAATGGGTGGAAACTAATCAAGGAGAGAAGCAACCTAGAACTAAGGAGAAACTTCCTGACAGCGAGAACAATTAATCAGTGGAACAACTTGCCTCCAGAAGTTGTGGATGCTCCAACACTGGAGGCTTTTAAGAAGATGTTGGATAACCATTTGTCTGAAGTGGTGTAGGGTTTCCTGCCTAATCAGGACTAGAAGACTTCCAAGGTTCCTTCCAACTCTGTTATTCTATTCTATTTGTGGTCGCCCACTTTCACTCTGCTGAGTGGGTGAGAGCCAAGAGCATGTGACAGGGGTTCAACCTGCCCTATGGCAGCAACGGGTCTCAAACGTGAGGTTGCTCATCCGTCAGCCCAGCATTCTAATCTCAGGAGCCAACGGCGCAAGTTGCTAAGTAAATTTAAAACAGAAATTGTAACAACTTTATCTTGAAAACAAAGGTTGCCTAAAGGGACATGGATGAACTGGCTGCTTGTGAAAGGGAGTCTGGCTGCTCTCGATACTGTCAGAATTTTGTTTTTGTTCACATCCGAGTTGGAGAACTCGGCTTGGGTTTGTATGGGAAGGAGGAAAGTGGTGTTTTAAAATAAGCGCATCTTAAAGGGAGAATTCCTATGATCCTATGGTTACCGTTTCATATAAGGACAAAGACCAGCCTGGTTATCATATTTTGTGAAAACAATAAACCCTGTGAAATTCTTAGCAGTCCTAATACATTCTAGAAAATAACCACAAAAAAATATCTAATAAAAAAAGCTTTACTTAAGGACTTTCTAAATACCTTCATGTTTTAAGAATCAGGAGACTCATGAATTAAGCAGAACCATAAACCTGTCCTGTATGGTGACAGCAGCCAGGGAGCTTACCACGACGCTACTCACCCTTTCTTGTGCTAATTTTCTCATTTCCTCTTGTAACTTGTTCAGAATGTGCAGATTGGGCTTGTTTTTTTTGGCATACTGCTGAAGTTCTATCACGCTTTTGTCGGAGGTTTCCTACCCAAAAGGAAATTAAAGGGTTTTAATATGGTCCTTTTAAACCCTATTTTTAAAAAAAGCCTCTGAATTCAGTATAAGCAATTACTGTACTTTTCGGAGTATAAGATGCACTTTCCTCCCCCCCAAAAAGTGGGTGGAAATGTCTGGGCATCTTATACAGCAAATGTTACTGAAGCCTCGCCCACCTGCCCCCACCCTTCGGCCTCTGCCCCGCAGCAATTTACCTCCTTGTAGCAAACAGCAAACAGCCTGCTCAGCTTCAGTACAGCCTGATTTAGCACGAGCAGCTGATTGGCGGTTGGATCTGCCTCCCGGAATACCGCCTATCAGCTTTTCCAGGCTGTGGGGATCGCCGCTACCCATCGCCATCGTCACCTATTGCCGCCTCCGTGCGCCCCATTTTCGGCCTCCATTCCTTTTATGCCCCGTCGGTGATAGGTGGCAGCACCAATCCCTGCAGCCTGGAACAGCTGATAGGAGGTATTCCAGGAGGCAGATCCAACCGTCAATCAGCTGCTTGTGCTAAATCAGGCTGTGCTGAAGCTGACCACGCTGTTTGCTGCAAGGAGGCAAACTGCTGGGAGGGAGAGGCAGATTTTTTTTTCTTGTTTTCCTCCCCAAAAGCTGTGTGTGTCTTACACTTCGGAGCATCTTATAGTCTGAAAAATACGGTAATCCTGGACAAGAGATAATTTGACATCTTTCAATAGAATCTCCTTATTTAATCCGGAGGCCAGGCAGAACATAAAAATGCTTTACCTGCTTAACCATCTTACTGTTTTCTCTGCCGTACATGCGCAATAAAGAACCCCAGTTTTTCACATGTGGGTGAAGCAGCTGAAGGATTTTCTGGGAAGCCAGTTGCTTTCCAACTCTTTTGTTCTTACCTGCAAAATCAAGGCAAGTTTAAACATCACACTCATACAGTAAACTTTTAGGAGCTGGACACAGAAGTTGGAGGAAAAGCCGCTACCTTGAGGGATCATACTTTTAAAGAAGATGATTCTACGATGGAGAATGGTTTGTACATTATATATATGAAATTTGCAATTTTTAAGGGAATGGCTACCAATTAAATTATTAACTTTGGTCCTTAACAATTATGGGTGTAAAGGATAGGGAAAGCATTTAAGTTATGTAGCCAAATTATGTTCTTCTTGTCATTACAAACTTATATTCAAAATATTACAAAACACTGCAGTTCCAGCATTGATACAGATGTACTCAAATATAAATAACTTCTGTTTTTGATTTAAAAACGTAACTAAAATGATAGTGTCTTATCATTAAGAGATCAGTTTATAGGAAATTCTGACTGGTTAAATAAGAAAACCAACACCACCAGACGGAAAGTGGCAATAAATCTAATAAACAGATATTCCATAGATTTTCTTAGTAACTGTTATACTTACACCACCCCCGCACAGTATGCTTCCCACAAGTCATAACATATTCGCTCTTCTGATTTTTGCCAGGAATCACTTCAAATTTTATGGATGTATCACCCATGCCATGATTTCTGAAGGACAAATTAAATACTGTTAGTTAGAAGTTCTCAGCGTTTAAAAAGTCTGGGTTTATTGATTAAAAATGTCATTTTTTTTAAAAAAAATGTTTGCATCAAATCTGGATGCCAACATAAAATAACGTTCAGCTAAAACAGTGTTCATAATTTTCAAAGGACAAAAATGTTACTGGTTTTTACTGCATGTGGTAAGCAAATTAACCCAGTTCTGGAGTCTGCCTAGTCCCCATCTATAAAAGATATTTCTCCGTTTTTTATTTTTTATAAAAATGTCAAATCAATGTGCAAACAGTGTGACACCTAGGCGCCATACATTCTAATACAAATGAAACTGATCAGATTAAACATAATTATTAATCAACTTATCTTTTCTTTTATGTACACTGAGAGCATATGCACCAAGACAAATTCCTTGTGTGTCCAATCACACTTGGCCAATAAAAAAATCTATTCTATTCTGTTCTATTCTATTCTATATTCTATTCTATTCTGTATTTTTAATAACAATACACATCTATGTTGGGTTACAGTCTATCATTATTCAATTATTCCACATTTTCTCATTCTTACTTTCATTTTATAAAATAAAAATGTATACATTAATATTTCCCTTATTTCTATCACTTATTCTAGCTTTTATGCCACCCTTCATGTCACCCTTTATTACAAAACTTCCTTCTTTCCTGTCTTACTTCTAATCATGACACCTGCCTAAAGAAAAAAAAAATAGAGAGAGGGATAGGGGTAGAAGCAACTCAATACAGTAGCAAAAAAAAAAAAGAAAGGAGTCATTCATCCATCACCTCTTGCCCGCTTCATAGTTTAATTGCTATGCTTTAAAAGAAAGAGGGGAAGAGGGAAAGGCTAATCAGAACAATAATTAAAAATCATCTATCCATCATCTCTTGTCCGCTTCAATAGTTTTAATTGCTATGCTTTTTTTTTTTGACTTGCCTCACAAATTCTTCTTTTAAATCTCCATCTGTCTATTTCTTGGATGTCCGCTCTAAATATAACAGATATTTCTAATAATTATGAGTTTCAGCCATAAGAAGGGACAGCATCCCACACTGAATCCCAACTGGACATGCAATATGGTGTGATACCAACAAAAGCTAATATTTGGATCTCAGGGTTGAACTGTGAGGTCCTTGGTGGCTTTTTTGCCGACGTTTCATTACCAAACTAGGGAACATCATCAGTTGAAGAAAACTACCAAGCTCAGAAAGCAACAAGGATCCCACCATGCATTGTGAGCAAAATGTACAGGAAGTCCCCGACTTACAACCACCATTGAGCCCAAACTTTGTTGCTAAACAAGACCGTTGTTAAGTGAACTTTGCCCCATTTCATGACCTTTCTTGCCACAGGTGTTAAGTTGAATCACAATTGTTAAGTGGCTGGCTTTCCCACTGCCTGCCTGTCAGAGGTTCGCAAAAGGTGACCTGACCCCGGGCCAGTGCAACCGTTATGAATACAAGTCCATTGCCAAGCATTTGAATTTTGATCATGCGACCATGGGGATGCTGCAATGGTCATAAATATGAAAAGCCATCATAAATCACTTTTTTCAGTGCTGCTGTAACTTCGAAGGTCACTAAATGAACAGTTAAGACAAAGGCCATTTGTATAGGACAGTAATGGCTAACCTTTTTGTTGTTGTGTGCCGAAAGCGCATGTACGTGCCGGCACCCATAATGCAATGCGGGGCCCCCTCGTGCATGCGCACACGACCCCCCCTCCCCCAGTCCTGTTTTGGGCCTAGTAGGCCTCCCTGCCGTTACAGGTGTTATGTCTGCCTTCCATGCAGCTTTATTCCTGTTTAGCATTCATCTCCATTGTTTTGTGTTGCATTTCCTGCCTCTCTAGGATTTACCTCTATTTGCTCCTGTGAGGCACTTCCTGTTCCTGTTGTATATATCTGTTTATATTCTCGATGGCTTGTATAGCGTTTTAACTGCATTTTGATTAAAACTACTTGAAACACCTGCAGTCTCCTAGGACCAAAAACGGGCCGTTGGGGGGAGGGCACACTCTCGCGCACCCCAGCGCATGCGTGCGCGTTTCCTGCATGTGCGGTGGAGCTGAGCTGGGCGACGGCTCACGTGCCCGCAGAGAGGGCTCTGTGTGCCAGTTGTGGCACGCGTGCCACAGGTTCGCCGTCGCGGGTATAGGAAATAGCCATTTTCCAACCTCCCTGCACCAGTTCCAGCATGTCTTTTAAAACCGCACACTGGCAGGCAATCATGTTCACGCAGGGAACGCAGTTAAGAACGCGACAGCCACGTGGGGGGCTCTGTCCCAGGCAGACTAATTCCTAAAGCAGTCATCATGTTTTAGGAACCATTTCTAGGTTCTCCCAGATTAAAGAGAGAAAAAAAGAACAGACGGGGCTATTCCATAAAAAGAATGAAGCCTTCCTCAAAGGAGAGATCACGTAAGCCAGGCAAAAACTCACCTTTTAAGGCACTCGTGAAGGATCTGATATGGAGACAGGAGTCCAGCTTTACTCGTCAGTTCGTACACCCGTGAATCCTCGATACTGATATGGTTAAAATACTACAACAAAATAGGTAAAAGAGTCACTTAACAGTAGAAAGGACTTTTTAAGCTTTGCAGGGAGGTCTCTCGTCGTTCTGCGGTTGCAGTATTAAGAGATAAACTAACAAGGAAAGATATAAGAGGACAAAATAAACAGCAGAACAAAGGAGCCGTTTGGCTTCGCACCGATTTTGCTAGGAGCTGGGATTGGGAACCATGAGTTGGGAAGAAAAGGTGTGTTTTATACTCCGAAAAATACGGTAACTCTTTCCACTGACAGAAGGAGTCAAAGGACAAATGATATCATTTATGACGAGGGTTATTAATCTAAAGCAAAGAAGCTGAAGGCTTAAAGGAATTTAACATGCGAAGACTCAGCTGTGAACGTACCTCTAATTCCTCACTATCTTTGGGCTTCTCCTCAGAGGTTTGCTTCACAAAATCAGGGATGAGGATTTCCAAAGTAGCTCGGGCTGGGAAAAAAAAAAAAGACTAGGAGTGAAAACCACGTGTGCATTTTGTCAAGAACGCCAACATGCATCGAACAATTCGTCGAATTTATGTTTTACCGACAAAGAAATAAAGGGAGACTAGTATAGACCTATTTCAAGCTATTTAGCTCTCGTCAGCTAGCCATACCCTTTCTGGGATTCGAATCCCCGGCTGCTTGCATATTAATGTATTTTTCGGAGTATAAGATGCACCTTTTTCCCCCAAAAAAGAGGGTGAAAATCTGGGTGTGTCTTATACTCTGAATGTAGCCCCGCCCGGCTTCTCAAGGAGGTTTCAGAGGCTGAAAAAAGCATCAGAAACGAAACTTCAGGAAAGAAGCCCCCAAACAGAGCTTCAGAGGCTTTTTTTCTGAAGCTCTGTTTTGGAGGCTTTTGGAGGCAGGAAAAAGTTTTTTTCTGAAATGGAGTTTCAGAACAAAGCAAAAAAAAAAAAAAAAAAAAAGCAAGGCACAGAGCTCACCACCAAGGAACTTGTTGCTAAAATTCACCTCTGGGAACAGCTGATTGGGGGTATTTCAGGAGGGCGATCCACCTGTCAATCAGCTTTCTTCTTATTTTCCTCCCCAAAAACTAAGGTGCATCTTATACTCCAAAAAATACAGTAGGTACATGTATTAACCTCTAAACCATGGGCTCTCCTCACTTTGTTGGCTACACCAGGGAAAATATTGCTTTTTATCCAGACAATCTGGTCCACCCAATTAAGTGACTGAGCATACTGCTCTGCTTTCGCCTTTCAGACCCATTTTCCTTCGTTTTTAGAATGGTGAAAAGGTTTCCAAGTTGGGAAGTTTATTATTTGTATTTTGTATTTCGTTAACTGCCCTTCTCTCTCAGAGAAGGGGCTCTGGGTGGTGAAGTTGCAGAAACATCTTTTTTTTAATTGCATTTTTTCTCTTTACATATCTCTATTACATTTTTTTTAAAAAAAAATTTATATGCCGCCCTTCTCCGGAGACTCAGGGCAGCTTACAATGCACTAAGCAATAGCCTTCATTCTTTTGTATATTTATACAAAATCAGCTTATTGCACCCACAACTGGGTCCTCATATTTAACAGATCTGATATTATTCATACAACTAGAACCAATATTCAGTACATTATATACATTCTATTTCTAAACATTCTGTACCTTTATGTACATTTCCATTCCTTATTTCTATTATCTATCCATTCATACCACTTCTCCCATACTGCATAATCCATCTTTTGAGGAGAAAGCCTGTGGAAAATAAATCCCAGATAAAGGGATTGCACATATGTGCTAGTCGTTCCCGACTCTAGGGGGCAGTGCTCATTTCCGTTTGAAAGCCGAAGAGCCAGCGCTGTCCAAAGACAGTCTCCGTGGTCATGTGGCCAGCATGATTAAACTCCAAAGGTGCACAGAACGCTGTTACCTTCCCACCAAAGGTGGTCCCTATTTTTCTATTTGCATTTTTTACATGCTTTCAAACTGCTAGGTTGGCAGAAGCTGGGACAAGTTACGAGAGCTCACCCCATTACACGGCGCTAGGGATTCGAACCGCCAACCTCTCGATCAACAAGCTCAGCGTCTTACCCACTGAGCCACCGCGTCCCATTAAATCCCAGATATATCTGTGCTAAATTCTCTTAGCTCTACTGCCAATTCTATGCACACTAATGGCAGAACAATCCTTCCCTTAGTTGCTACCCAGACAGACTGCGAATCTCAGAATGCTTAAGTGCCACACTGTCTTGCTGCAAATTGCAGTATTACTTGAATCACTTAAATCACGGAGATTTAAACAGCAAGCAACATTTGGGTTCTTTTCATCTGAAATCACAATCCTGAATGGAACAAGTAAAAAACAAACAAACCAGAATTTAGCCCTTTAGAGAAAGTGGTACAGGCACTCCTCGAGTTACGGCCACCATTGAACCCAACATTTCTGTTGCTAAGTGAGACAGTTGTTAAGCAAATTTTGCTCCATTTTATGTCCTTTCTTTCCACCATTGTTAAGTGAACCACTGCAGCTGTGAAGTTAGTTAACACGGCTGTTAAGTGAATCTGGCTTCGCTGTTGACTTTGCTTGTCAGAAAGTCGCAAAAGGGGGTCACGTGACCCCCCCCCAGAACACCACAATCACCAAGCTTCTGAATTTTGATCAGGTGACCATGGAGATGCTGCAACAGTCGCTAAGTGGAGAAAACAGCTATAAGTCACTTTTTTTCAGTGCGATTGTAACTTTGAGCAACCACTAAATGAACGGTTGTAAGTTGAGGACTACCTGCACTGCGAATAGAATAGAATAGAATAGAATAGAATAGAATAGAATAGAATAGAATAGAATAGAATAGAATAGAAGAATAGAATAGAATAGAAGAGTTGGAAGGGACCCTGAAGGTTTTCTAGTCCAACCCCCTCCTTAGGCAGGAGACCCTACACCACTTCAGACAAATGGTCATCCAACATCTTCTTAAAAACTTCCAGTGTTGGAGCATTCACAACTTCTGGAGGGATGTTGTTCCACTGATCAATTGTTCTCATTGTCAGGAAATGTCTCCTTAGTTCTAGGTTGCTTCTCTCTTTGATTAGTTTCCACTCGTGCTCCTTGTCCTGCTCTCAAGTGCTTTGGAGAATAGCTTGACTCCCTCTTCTTTGTGGCAGCCCCTCAGATATTTAAAGACTGCTATCATGTCTCCCCTAGTCCTTCTCTTCATCAAACTAGACATATCCAATTCCTGCAACCGTTCTTCATATGTTTTAGCCTCCAGTCCCCTAATCATATTTGTTGCTCTTCTCTGCACTCTTTCCAGAGTCTCAAACACCTTTTTTACATCGTGGCGACCAAAACTGAATGCCGTATTCCAAGTGTGGCTTTACCAAGGCATTATAAAGTGGTATTAACACTTTGTGTGATTTGGATTTCAACCACCCGTGTCAATTTCTCTATGCTAGCCCAGCAAACACTGATGAGAGCACAAATTGCATGTAGAATCAGAATTGATGCACCCGTTTTCTGAGAATGCTAATTTTCTTGACTTCACTAATCCTCCGTAGATCTAGATCAGGGGTCCCCAACCTGTGAAATAGAATAGAATAGAATAGAATAGAATAGAATAGAATAGAATAGAAGAGTTGGAAGGGACCCTGAAGGTTTTCTAGTCCAACCCCCTCCTTAGGCAGGAGACCCTACACCACTTCAGACAAATGGTCATCCAACATCTTCTTAAAAACTTCCAGTGTTGGAGCATCCACAACTTCTGGAGGCAAGTTGTTCCACTGATTAATTGTTCTCACTGTCAGGAAATTTCTCCTTAGTTCTAAGTTGCTTCTCTCCTTGAATAGTTTCCACCCATTGCTTCTTGTCCTGCCCTCAGGTGCTTTGGAGAATAGCTTGACTCCCTCTTCTTTGTGGCAGCCCCTGAGATATTTAAAGATTGCTATCATGTCTCCCCTAGTCCTTCTCTTCATCAAACTAGACATATCCAATTCCTGCAACCGTTCTTCATATGTTTTAGCCTCCAGTCCCCTAATCATATTTGTTGCTCTTCTCTGCACTCTTTCTCGAGTCTCAAACACCTTTTTTACATCGTAGCGACCAAAACTGAATGCCGTATTCCAAGTGTGGCTTTACCAAGGCATTATAAAGTGGTATTAACACTTCGTGTGATTTGGATTTCAACCACCCGTGTCAATTTCTCTATGCTAGCCCAGCAAACACTGATGAGAGCACAAATTGCATGTAGAATCAGAATTGATGCACCCGTTTTCTGAGAATGCTAATTTTCTTGACTTCACTAATCCTCCGTAGATCTAGATCAGGGGTCCCCAACCTGTGAGCATCCTCTCCCTCCCCACACCAGCCTGCAAAGCCAGAAACGTTGTGGAGTTCTGATCTAGATAGCTGTACTTACCAGCTTTATTCTTGGCAAGTTTTTTGCTACTGGCAGTCCCTGCTCCGTAAGTCACTCCATCAATAATAACTGATGCTCCAAAAGGCTCACTTGGGTTCTCTTTAAAGAGAGGAGAGAAAAATCAAAATATCTGAAGTCCCATCTCACCCTGTCAAGAAGACCGAGAGACTGATGTTTAGCATACTTGGCAATTTACAAAGGCTACTCAGTTAAAGAACAAGCCATGATTGTTTCCTTTATATCGAACCATGTTACCGTTTCTTTATTCCACCTCCACTGTGCATCGTGTTAACATTCTTGAATGTAAATATATTTGGACGAACGGGAGGTTTTATAGTTTTCCAGAAAAACCCAAACAAACATAGCTCAAGAATGAAGGTGAATATATACGTGTCCCGGGATAATGTTTCAGGATCCAATCTGGATCAGTCACAGGTTTAGTCTTCTGAGCTTTCGGACTCGTGCTGGAGCCCCATCCTCAGGGAACTTCTCTCTACCAGAATGTGTGCTTTGGGCTATTCTATGCATAGTATTGCTATTAAGATTGTTGGCCGAGCAGGGACAAAAATAGCCAGGGAAATTTTTGAAGCCTGGGAAATCAATCAATAGGATTGCTGATTTCCCACCAGATTATTAGATGCTTAGGAGCTGAGGAAACAACAGCCAACGACTTAATAGCCGGCCAACAACACCCAAAAAACAGGCCACATACAACCAGGCACCACATAAATACTACACATAAAGGTAAAGGTTCCCCTCGCACGTATGTGTTAGCCGGTCCCGACTCTATGGGGCGGTGCTCATCTCCGTTTCAAAGCTGAAGAGCCAGCGCTGTCCGAAGACATCTCCTTGGTCATGTGGCCGGCATGACTCAACGCCAAAGGCGCACAGAACGCTGTTCCCTTCCCACCAAAGGTGGTCCCTATTTTTCTACTTGCATTTCTTTATGTGCTTTCGAACTGCCAGGTTGGCAGAAGCTGAGACAAGTCACGGGAGCTCACCCCGTTACGCGGCACTAGGGATTCGAACCGCTGAACTGCCGACCTTTCAATCGAAAAGCTCAGTGTCTTAGCCACCGCGTCCCTTAACACTACACATAGAATAGCCCAAAGCATACATTCCAGTACAGAGAAGTTCCTTGAAGATGAGCTTCAGCACGAGTCTGAAAGCTCAGAAGACTAAACCTTTGGTCCTGGTGACCGACCGAGATTGGATCCTGAAACACAGCTCAAGCTTAGATCTCTAGATCTACTGCAGCGCTCCTGGTAATTGTCCCTTAGAATCATTCCTTTAGATAAATATTAGAAGACTTACCACATTCAAAGAAATTGTAAACAGGCCGTACTTTCAGCACTCGTTGCATATATTCATGAAGGATACAAACTTCAGACTTCCCATTGGGATTAATAACAAACTCTGGAAAAGAAGAACATCGCACAGATGCGGCTTTGAATCTCTGAAATGTTCACTAGTAACAGCTAGAGCAGTGTTTCTCAACCTTGGAAGCTTGAAGATGGGTGGACTTCAACTCCCAGAGTCCCCCAGCCAGCAGCGCTGGCTGGGGGAATTCTGGGAGTTGAAGTCCACCCATCTTCAAGCTACCAAGGTTGAGAAACACTGAGCTAGAGGATGAGAACGGCTTTCATTAAGAAGCCCCACAGGATAAATACCAATCCCATAGTACGTGCAGTGGTACTATCCTAACAATGAGTCGAAAATAAAACCAGCATTTTCCAGGATTGCCAACACTCGGTGTAGGTAGTCCTCCATTGACGACCACAATGGGGTCTCTCCGTAAGTCATGACGGTCGCAAGTGGGTCATCGTGATTCCAACCCGATTTTACAACTTTTTTGTTTTTGTTTTTGCAGTGGTCGTTAAGCGAGCATGGCAGTCACCATGGCCGTTCAAGCAAACCAACTGTTTCTTATGGGGCATTTTTGACACACACCCCCCCAAAAAACCACGATGTAAATGTTATTTTTCTGGCAAAAAAAAAACATTGTACAATGGGGTCACGTGACTGTGGGATGCCGCAAATTGCCTAAAGTGGCTGGTACACCTGAGTTGTAAGTATACCTGGGGAGATAACTTTGAATGGAAGACAAAACTTGGAAGGACAAACAAATAAAATCAGTTCCAGGTAGAACTTTGGCTAATTCTCAGGGCTTTAAATTAATTCACAATTCTGACAACCAGCTTACCTTTCTTTGTGGGCGCATCTTGGACAGACAACGTAATGAGTTTCTGATTGGCTGGCAAAATGGGCCTCTCAGACTCTGCCTGCTTCCTCTTCATCTCCCGGTTGAACTGCCGCCTCTCCGCCCACGTTCGGAACTTCTTCACCGTGACTTGCTCGAAATCGAAACATTTTTCCAGATAGTGTCGGAAATCCTCAATATCTAAGGGAACAAAGCAACCGTCACTGTGCCGCGCTCCTTCCAACTGAGAGCGCAACTGGGTCAGTTAGGGGAGTGACCTGATTTATGGATCTCAGGGCTTATGATCGTAATGCAGTCTAAGTCAAGGACTACCTGTAGATGGAACTATCTGAGAAAGAATTGTGCTTATGTCTCTTTGCATCACAGCCACAAACAAGCAGTTAAACAAAAAAGAAAACAGAGTAATTGAGTTAGAAGGGACCAAGTCCAGCGGTGTCAAACTCAAGGCCTAAGGGCTGGATCCCACCTGCGGAGTGCTTAGATCTGGCCCCCGGGGCTACCATGGAAATAGTGAAGGACCCGCCTGTGTTGCTTCTGCCAGCAAAAATGGAGCTTGCGAGGGCTGAAGGCAGCCCTCCCGAGCTCCACTTTCGCTGGCAGAGGGTTGCAGGAGGCCGTCACAGCCGAAAACGGAGCTCGGGAACCCATTTTTGCTGGCTGAGTGCTCACGTCACCACAGGTGCCCCGACACAATTGATGTTGAGGTGGCCACGCCCCACCTGGCCACACCCACCATGCCCCCCCCCAAGGTCAAACACAACCTTGATGCGTCCCTCAATGAAATCGAGTTTGATACCCGTGATCTAGTCCAACCCTCTGTTTAAGCAGGAGATCCAATACCAGGGGTCGGTAACCTTAAAAACTCAAAGAACCACAAAGGTCTTAACCGGAAGCCCCCCATTCAATTCTGGAGCCGACCGGAAGTCCGATTCCCCCCACCATAGAGTCTCCACCTAGCGCGGCATCCTTTTTCCTCTACCTGTCCTATCAATTGTGACTGGAAAACCTGCCCCTTGCCATAGAGTCTCTTCCTGGTGCGCCTTGCTTTCACCCCCCCTAACTGGAAGCTCCTCTCAAAATTGGGGCGGAGACAGGGAGCCACAGCAAAGGGATGAAAGAGCCACATGTGGCTCCAGAGCTGCGGGTTGCTGACCACTGTCCTATACCATTCTGGACAAGTGGCTGTCCGGTCTCCTAACAGAACACTCACAATTTCTGCAGGCAAGTCGTTCCACTGATTAATTGTTCTCGCTGTCCGAAAATCTCTCCCTACTTCTAGGTTTGGAGCTCTCTTTGATATGCTTCCATCCGTTGCTTCTTGTTCTACTTATAATGTACATTAAAGCGACACTTAATGTACCCAAGCAACAGCCAAGATCTCTGGATGACTGAAGAAGAAACACTGATGCCTAATTTGAGTTGGTGGGATGTGGCCCACCTCGGAAAGGTAAAACGACAGGTCCTCACCTATTGATTCATCTTTGCACACTTCGACTTTGGCCTTCACTTGTCCCAAAGCTCCTTGGGCTGCATCTCCCCCAGACGGATCTTTCTCATCCAACGTTCCGGAATCGGCTGCCGTAGAGTCTGGCTCCTCCGTTTGACAATCCAGTTCCAGGGATTTTTCCGTCAGCTTTACAGGGGAAACCTCCCTGTTTGGGGTGATGTCATTGCTTTGTTCCCTTTCCTCGTTGTCTTTCATTTTTTTATAATGCAAACAAGGAATGCTACTCAGAGGAGGGTCGTGTTTCTGCAACACAGTTTGCAAGTTCAAAGGTGAGAGAGCAGGGCAACAAAACCAACTTATAAATTCCCTCATATATAGTGCCCCCGTCTTTACCAGCAATGCTTCAGATCTCTGAGAATCAGCGTTGTTATACAAAGCAAAACAGGGAAGTCAAATGCTTTGTACAAGTGTTTTTATATCCTTGTTAGAAAATCACCAGGCTCTCTAGCAACTTACACCCTTTTAAGTTACTTATTTTCTGTACTATCAGAAGAAAAACCTTATGAGAAGCGATGAATTTAAAAAATGCACTTTGGAAGTATCAAAACGGAAAGTGTACCTAATTGCTCCAATGTATTTTCAGTAATTTTTAAAGTCAAAGCCATCCGTCATATATTACCGTTGTACATAGGGTGCTCATAAGTTCCCAACTTTTCTCTTATCAATGTTTCCTCGTAAAAGAATTGGAGAGGACCGTATTTCCATCTGCTTTAAGATCTCACTTTTCACTGCGGCCAGATGCCTCCAAGAAGGCTAAAATAGCAGAAACGTATCCAAGAACTACCGTATTTTTTGCAGTATAAGATATTCTGGACTATAAGACGCACCTACCTTTTTTGGGGAGGAAAATAAGAAAAAAAAAAAATCTGCCTCTGCCTCCCAGCAATTTACCTCCTTGCAGCAAACCGCAGAATCCCACACGGCAATAGGCTATGGCAATCCCTGTAACCTGAAACAGCTGAGGGTCGAGAGGCTGATCCAATGGACAATCAGCTGCTTGTGCTAATCAGGCTGTGCTGAAGCTGAAAGTGGCTGTTTGCTGTAAGGAGGTAAATTGCTGGGAGGCAGAGGTCAAAGGGTGGGGGCCAGCGGGTTGGCGGGGCTACATTCGGTGTGTAAGACGCACCCAAATTTTCACCCTCTTTTAGGGAGGGAGAAAGTGTGTCTTATATTCCGAAAAATACGATAAAAAGCATTCTATGCTCTTTGGCTTAATTTCAGCTAGAGGCCCTCACTCCCTCTTGCGGAAGAGAACTCTATAAATCAGTTATGCGTAATGTTTAAGGAAAGGTGATCAGTAAGAAAATATTGATTCTCTAATTTATTAACGAGTCAAGCTTTTAGTGTTAAGTAACCTATAAAGCAATTTTTATTTTGGAACGTAACCACAATTCAAAATAGATCTTTTAGTCAAAGGGCAGGAAGGCAATTTTTTTTCATATTATTCTGAGTGATGCTTGAGTTTCATAATTAGCTTGGCTCACCAACATGCAGATAGTCACCAACTTATGATCACAACTGAGACCTGAATTTCCATAGTTAAGAAGGTAGACAGTTGTTAAGTGAAACAGGAGGTTGTTAAGTGAATCCATCTTCCCCTATTGAAGTTTAAGGAACGATTTGTTAATCACGTTTTTCAGAGCTATTGTAACTTCACAGTCCTTCAGTGAACAGTTTCTAGCCTAATTCTTTTTAAGTGTTTTTAATTGTTTGGTTTATTGTTTTAATTAATGGGGCCAAATTTATATATATATTTTTAACTGTATTTTAATATTTGTATCTGATGTTTTTATTTGGCTGTTCACCGCCCTGAGTCCTCAGGGAGAAGGGCGGTATACAAATTCAATAAATAAATAAATAAATAAATAAATAAATATGGAGATTCTCAGTCATCCAGATCATAGTTGTCCCAAAGGTGCTTTTTCAAGACCTTCCAAGGGGTCTCAACAACTTTCAAAAAGAGTGCAAATGACCAGCTGTCTGTCTGCAAAGAGTATAAAATCCTTCCATTCCCCACCATCCAGTCAGAGCCGAAGAAGCTTCTTGGATGAGAAGCAAAACGTCTTTAAAAACAAGAAAGGTCCAGTTGCCTCTTGAGAAAAAGCACCTTTGGGATAAATGAACGGTTATAAATCGAGGAATACCTGCAGTAGCTCATGTCTTAAATAAGATGAAATCGGATTTTACAGAATGAAATTCAGTGACAGTCAGCCACGCTTCTAATAATTACAAGAATGCCTAACGCCTATTCATATTTCTAAAAGAATGAAACCCAGAGACATTATTACCCTGATGCTTCCTGTTCCCAAGAAATAAGGTCTGGACCAGGTGACCACACGAGACTCTCTGTGGAGGTACACTGGGATGCCTGAGTTGTGGAATGTCATGATCCATCCATCAGGCAATGGTTCTGTAGGAGGGCGACCACGACCTGGGAAAGAGAAGCACACTGAGGCACTGCTTAGTGCCCAAATCCTTCAATGGTTATTTTGAAACATACAGTAAGTGCCTCCCGTCTTCCCGGTTAAACCATCAAGCTAGCCGGAAGCTTGAGGTTCTTCTAATGCTGGTTGAAGAAACCCTCTTGACATGCAAGTTGAAATTTATCAACACTTGTTTCCTGATTGCTTATTTCTACCCTATGACTATCATTAAGTGTTGTACCTTATGATTCTTGATGAATGTATCTTTTATGTACACTGAAAGCATATCCACCAAGACAAATTCCTTGTGTGTCCAATCACACTTGGCCAATAAAAAATTCCATTCCATTCTTTTTCTCCAAAAGCGGGACTCTCCAATCTTGGTAACTTTAACTCACCAGAATTCCCCACCAGGCACGACTGGCTGAGGAATTCTGGGAGTTGAAGTCCACAAGTCGTAAAGTTGCCACGGTTGGAAACCCCCGTTTTAGAGAAAATGACTAAGACAGTTAAGGGTGTGTGGAAAATCCTCCATAGGTCAATTGTTCTACCTGTAAAATAAAAACTGCATGAATCAAGTGGTTTTGCTCGCACCCAAAACAACTCTGGTGTTTTCTTGTGTGTGTGGACCAAAATGTATTATTTATTTTTCACACTCCTTAACCACCCATCTCTCTCTGAGAAATGCCAGTTGTTCTGGGCTAGATGTGAACAGGAAGAGAGCCAGCCTCTTAAGAGAAACTGAGCTGGTCAAGGCAACTAGGTGCGTGATTACTTGCAACAGCTTACTTTTAAGAACAGTTTTTATTTTGGTCATCATGGGCTGTACGGTGGTTTCTCCGTCCGACTGATGGTCACTTTCCCCTGCGTATTTCTCATCCATCCTCCTTTTTTTGGGAACACAAAGGCCCTCTTCCAGCAGAGCGTCCACATCATTATCAAATTCATCCTGAAAAACATACTGTCAAGTAGATACCATGCCCCATATTCTCCTCACTCCCTGGGAAGACAGGTACGGCTGCAGAGACCTATAAATTGCCCAAGTGACTCAGATTGTATCAAAGTGGCAGGTTTCAAGCAGCGGTAAGTAGCTCAGTAGCTCTGTAATAATTCAGGAAGATTTGGTGATTTTTTTATGCAGCTACTTTGATGAGCTCTACTGATAGTCCTCATTTAGCAACCACAACTGGGACAGACAACTCAGTGGTTAAGTGAAGCAGATACTAAGTTAAGGGACAGACAACTCAGTGGTTAAGTGAAGCAGATATTGAATCTGCAACTTGGCTTATGATCTTCCTTCAGCTTTCCTTTGCTTTACAGACCTGTGAAGGCTCTAATTGTGAGAATCTCGGTTGTTAAGTTACTTTTTTCATCTTCCTTGTGACTGAAAATGGTTGCCAACCAAGAACTACTTGTACAGGTCAGTCCTCGACTTACAACCATTTGTCTAGTGATCATTTGAGGTCACAACAGCACTGAAAAAAGCAACTTATGATTGCTTTTCACGCTCATGACCATTTCAGCATCCCCATGGTCACCTGGTCAAAATTCCGACACTTGACAACTGGTTCATATTTATGACCGTTGCAGTGTCCCAGGGTCATGTGATTCCCCCTTTTGCGACCCTCCGACAAGCAAAGTCAATGGCAAAGCCAGATTCACTTAACAGCCGGGCTACTAACAGAACAAATGCAGTGATTCACTTAACAACTGTGACAAGAAAGGTCGCAAAACTCACTTTTAACAGTTGTCTTGAAATTTCTCAACAGAAATTTTGGGCTCAATTGTGGTTGTACATTGAGGACTATCTGTATCTTCTCTACAATTAAGCCTCAAGCCCAAATTTTGTCCCACCAAGATTTTCTTCCTTTACTTCATCCCCCTGCCCAGTTAATATAAATGCTGCAAAAATGCCCCTATATTTGCAATTTCCTTCCTGAACCCAAACTCTGCAAAAACAAACAAACAAAAAAAAAATTCTAGTTACCTCGTAAGAATAGTGCAAGGTTTCTTCGTCCACTTTGTCTTGCTGAACGATCGCCTTAGATGCAAACCCTCCTCCTCCTTCTTCATCTATTTCCATCAAATTGTCTGTAAAATCTTCTAAATCATCCAACACTGCATATTCCACTCGCTTTTCCTGATCTACCCCATTGTCCTCATCCTTGGTCTCCTCCTTTTCACCGGCTACCTGAGCTGCCAGGCCGCCACTACTACCCCCACCGAGAGGGCAAGCATGCACATCCCCATTGACACCGCGAATCCCTAAATCTGCCCCTGCCTCATAATCTGGCTCAGCTCCAGTGTATAGCACTTTTCTGTCTTTACTTTTGCAGCTCTCTGTAAAGTTAACGCTAATCTTTACATCCTTAAGCAACTTAAGATCGGGAATGAACTTCCTAACCGAGGGCGCGTGGCGAGCAGTTCTTGGGCTTTGGTCGCTATACGGATCTATGATAAGACGACTTTGGTAGCACGAAGATCCCTTGGTGAGGAGCTGCGTCCCGTTGCCAGCGTGGGCGTCCCCAGCGGGGGTATCTGACTGTCCATCACCACCAGAGCTAACGTCCATTACCTCTGCGTCACTGGACGTTTGCAGGGGAGGTGGTGGAGGCTGTTCGTTGGGAGGCAGTGGTGGGGGACAAGAAGGGTTCTCCATGTTCACTTCAGTGCTGGCTGGCTCTTTTGGAAGGGGAGGTGTGTTTTCACAATTCTCCATCGCTAAAACTTACCCAAAGGGGAAGGGGAAAAAGAAATAATAAACCCACCAAGTTTTAAACAAAAGGGTTGTAGGAATCTATGATCCTCACATGCAGAAATCCCTCCAGAGAGGATTGGTCGTGCTTTACTCAAAAGGCAACACTGATGATTCAGTTAAGCTGACTACATTGCTCTTTTCATTAATGTGGACAGCTTTCAGAATCACTGTCTCAATTACTGGAAATCACAATGCATTCAGCTTAAATAGCTGATGTCCGAGTTAAGAGCTTCTTCTGTTGGCTGTCGTAGATCTTCTTGACTTTTTTCAGCCTGCAAAGAAAAATGTCAACTGTCAATCGCTCATATTAGGAAGTACAGTCCAATTACCCAATCCTGAGAATAACATACAGGTAGTCCTATACTTAACAACAGTTCGTTTAGTGAAAGTTACAACGGCACTGAAATTCCGATTCTCTTAACAACCGTGTTACTAACTTAATAACTGCAGTGATTCATTTAACAATTATGGCAAGAAAAATTGTGAAATGGGGAAAATTCACACAACTGTCTCACTTAGCAACAGAAATTTTGGGCTCAATTGTGCTTATAAATCGAGGATTATCTGCATTTCTTTTATTGACTTTTGGCTAAAAAGTAAAATGAAATGTTTCATTTCTCTTGAAGTTCCTAGTTCTAAGTTAACAATGGATTATAGTCAACACATCCTTGGTAAAAAACTATGATGATGTACGGAGTATGGTTATGAGGACTTGTTTTCATTTCATGTATAAGTACAGATTCCCTAAGTGTCATTTTAACTATAATATTTACAAGGTCTGGAGTGACAGTTACATGTGGCAGGCAAGGATGATGGTCTTTCAGGGAAATGCCATCTTCAACTTTGATAAGCCTCCTTTGAGAACTCAAAGGAGTGGAACAGCTAGATAGAAGCAAATAGATGAACAAGTACGTTAGATTTATTTCAGATTGTATTCAATAAAAAATTTAGTGCAAGATGATACACTGTTATGAAGCAACACCCACTTGATCAAATGTGTAATGATGCCCAGCTGATTGGGTTGAAAAGCAGATATATGAAAGCAAGCTGAACCAAATTAAAATTTGCCAGAATAAATCTGTAAACTTTGTTGCCACAAAGTTGTCACTTGTTTAAACAGGCTGTCTGCTTTAATAAAAGAAAAAACGGTCAGAACTGAACTAGGTCACCTGGCATGCTCCCAAAAAAAAGCATCATTGAACTATAGTAACAAAAACAAAAAGGACCGCTCTCTTTGAAAGGCAAAGAATTTTATACGACTGAAAAAGCTGGTGCTTTTTCTACGAATTACTCACACAGACATTGCTCTGCAGCTACCAGAAATGTATTGTACTAGCTTTTTTTTCCCCTTTTGCTCAATTGTGTTCAATTCTCAGATACTGCCTGGGCAACTCCCTGCAGTTTTCTTGGCAAGTCATTTGCCATTGCTTTCTTCCATGAGACTAGAGAAAGTGACTGGCCCAAGGTGACCCAGCTGGCCTTAGGCAAGGCAAAACTCAAGTCTTCCAGTTTCCAGGCTGATGCCTTCAACTACTACACTCATCCTTATTTCTCAGTCATTTTTCATTGCATTGTTCATGTCACATAAAATCATTTCTATCATACGTGAACTATTTCCCTTTCCTAAATTTTTGCTTGCTGCTACTTTTGCAAAATCAGATAAACACTGGAAATCAATGTCATAATTTAAAATCCATTCCCAATGGAAAGCCAAATGGGTTGCTGAACGTCAATACACAGGAAGACATAGACCAGTTCAATATCTGATTTTTTTCATATAAATGCTGCTGTGCTTCCATGGCTTAGATTGATGGCTTAGATTGGTATTTGAATACAGATCTTTGTAACATTCATATTTTATTTTATTTTAATCTAGGGGAAATGTTAATATGTATTGCAAGTCCATGTATCATGTGCCATGATCTAAATAAACTGGAAATAACTTATTTACAATTTGGCTAGCCTAGAATAAAGATAAGCATAATGCCCCATCATGAAACCCTGTATTCTAAACCGGATTGCAGTGCCCTCATGTACTAATTTCTTGATGTTGTATCTTTTCATTTAATAAAATGAAAATAAAAATTAGAAAAAAAATTAGAATGCCTACAGCCCCAAAGGAGAACATGGTGCCACACCCTTTGAGGTCTGATTTTTATTGGACAGAGGTGTCTCCTCTTTCCAGGACTCAGACACAAATTGTACAGTTGAGGTGATGAGAAAAAGTCAATTTCCCTTCCCATCTTTTATGAGAATCTTGCAATGACTCCATTAATGTCATGCACCATGATTTAACCCCAATTACAAGGAATCTGGGAGAAAAGCACAAACACCAATAAATTTAATACATATATACAGAAGGGTGGAGAGCAATGCAGGTAGTCCTCAACTTATGGCCACAATTGAGCCCAAAATTGCTAAATGAGAAATTTGTTAAGCGACTTGCCCCATTTTATGACTTTTCTTGCCACATTTGTTAAGTGGATCACTTGCAGTTGTTAAATTAGTAACATGGTTGTTAAGTGAATCTGGTTTCCCCAGTGACTCTGCTCTTCAGGAGGTCACATAAGGGGATCACATGATCCCAGGGACCATGCAACCGGCAAATAAATGAGTGTTGTCAAGTAAATAACATGAACATGGGATGTTGCAATGGTCTTAAGTGCGAAAAATGGTCATAAATCACTTTTCTCAGTGTCGTTTTTGCTTTGGTCACTAAATGAACCGTCGTTAAGTCGAGGACCCCCTGTACAAATAAGATTGTGTGCTACCCAGGGTAAGATGGGCAGGCGATACATCTTACAAAATAAAAATAAATCACATAAACTGTTTCAACTCCTACTCTCAAAACGAGGCTGTAGAGCACTGCACACCAGAACAACTAGACACAAGGACAGTTTTTCCCCCATGCCATCACTCTGCTAAACAAATTATTCCCTCAACACTGTCAAACTATTCACTAAGGCTGCACTACTATTAATCTTCTCATCGTTCCCATCACCCATCTCCTCCCACTTATGACTGCATGACTGTAACTTAGCTGCTTGTATCCTTACGATTTATATTGATTGTTTCTAGTATGATTTGATTGCTTATTTGTACCCTATGACTATCATTGAGTGTTGTACCTTATGATTCTTGATGAATGTATCTTTTTTACTTTTTATGTACACTGAGAGCGTATGCACCAAAGACAAATTCCTTGTGTGTCCAATCACACTTGGCCAATGAAGTATTCAATTCAATATTCTATTCTATTCTATAAAAATAAACAATCAACCTCCAGTTATCTTTCATGTTACCCACTCCTGAAAGAAGCCCCCCCCAAAAACAAAACCAGGAAGGCAGCTGTATCCCCCACCCTCCCAGAGGTCCATTTTAACCAGGAAGTGCTATCCTGGATGGGGACTCCTCAAAACCTCTTGGAACCCTGCAGACCGTGGGGTGACTTTTGGGCCAAGCCCAACCAACCTTATACAGTTGTGGCCCTAAAAAGGAAAGAAGAGGTTTAACCCCCCTCCTCACCTCCCCATACACCTAAAGCATTTAAAGATCTCATAGAATTTACTCATATCCTTATCTTGTATTCATAATCATGTTTATACTTATATCTGTTATCTTATGTGTTTGACAAATAAATAACTAATAATAACTAATAATGGTATTTGAGATGCATTTTTGAATGTTGACTGAATTTCATATTTAATAAAGATAATAGTAATAGTAATAATAGTAATAGTAGTAGTAATAATAATAATACATCCCAAGTTTTCGTCCCCCTCCCACAATTGGGGGAGGGGCGTAAGAGTCTGGGGCAGGTCACGTGGCCCATTGAGCCCGCCCCCCCAGCCGTCAATCAAACGAGGGAGAGGGGGGAATCACTGCTTCTCGGCCTACCAAGGGCCACGGGGCCTAGTCAAAGAGGCTCCGGCGGGCAGCCCCCTCCTCTAAACGGAGGCACCCACCTGAGCCATGCCCGCCCGGTCTCAGCTGCTCCTCTGGGGTCTCTTCCGCGTCCGCCTAGCTCCGAACCGGCGTGTGAGGGAAGGAAAGCGGCCGCCTTCTCGCCTCCTCAAGCCGCGGTTTTTTTCTCTCCGCCTCAGCGAAGCCGCCTTCGCGCGGACGCCGCCATCTTTAAACGTCTCCTCACGCCGCCGCAGAGAAGCGGCCCGGCCCCTTTCCCCGCCTCCCGGCCAATCGGCTGTCGAGGAGCGGCCTCGCGCGCTTCTCCCTCATTGGGCCCGCGGAGACGCGGCGGCCTCCGAGCGCGCGCCGCCGCCAATAAAAGCCACGGACGGGGAAGAGCGGCCAATAGGAGCGGTGGGAGGGCGGGGCCCGAAGAGGTTGGTGGTGGGGGCGACTAAGAAACGCAAGAGGAAAAGGGGTGGGCCTTGCGGCTGTCGGTCAAGCCCTGGAAAACAGCTGACTCGCCAATAGGAAGCCAGTCTTTCATAAATCATCATCATCATCATCATCATCAAGATATATGAAGTGTGTAAGGATGCACGTCCGAATCCGTCCAGTTGGAGCACTCCAACCCTGGGATTGCTGAAAATATGAGCAGATCACTAGAATGGAGCAGATGGGAGTGAAAAAGCATTGCCAATACTGAGCTATTTATTTATTTATTTTTATTTTGTCAAGCATATAATAAGATAACAGGTAAAAGTATAAACATAATTTGAAGGAGCCTTGGTGGCACAGCAGACTAAAGTGCTGTTAAGTAGCACCAGCTGCCTGCAATTACTGCAAGTTCGAATCTCACCAGGCTCAAGGTTGACTCAGCCTTCCATCCTGTCGAGGTAGGTAAAATGAGGACCCGGATTGTGGGGGGGCAATAAGCTGACTTTGTATAAAAAAAGAACACCGCTTTGGGGGGGGGGGGGCGAAAGCCCTACTAAGCAGGTATATACAAAAAGTATGAAGGCTATTGCTTAACGCATTGTAAGCCGCCTTGAGTCTCCGGAGAAGGGCGGCATATAAATCGAACCAATAAATAAATTGGTTTTATTATTGTGTTTTTATTATTGTGAGCCACCCTGAGTCTCTGGAGAAGGGCGGCATATAAATCAAACCAATAAATAAATAAATAAATACATGAAAAGAGTAAGAGTAAAAAGGAAAACTAGGACAGGGACGGTAGGCACGCTGGTGCACTTATGCAATAGGATTTTAGACTTATATACCGCTTCACAGTGCTTTCCAACCCTCTCTAAGCGGTTTACAGAATCAGCCTCTTGCCCCCAACAATCTGGGTCCTCATTTTACCCACCTCGGAAGGATGGAAAGGCTGAGTCAATCAGAAGGAAGGAAGGAAGAGGAAAAGGAAGAACAATAGCAATAGCCCTTAGACTTATATCCTGCTTCACAGTGCTTTTACAGCCCTCTCTAAGCGGTTTACAGAGTCAGTCTCTTTCCCCCCAACAATCTGGGTCCTCATTTTACCCACCTCGGAAGGATGGGAAGGCTGAGTCAACCTTGAGCCAGTTAGGATGGAACTGCTGGCGGTGGGCAGAATTAGCCTGCAATACTGCATTCTAACCACTGCGCCACCACAGCCTAATAATGGTGGTTAACTTCTCATACACTAGAACCAAAAATAAGAGGCGGTGAATGAAAATTAATTTTCATTTTCATTTTCATTTTGACAAGGAGCCTGGTTCCTCCCCGGATAGGTCCTATTTCCCCCTTTTTATTTTCAAACACTGTGCCTCCGTAGTAAAATTAATGCTAGAGAGTCTAAAGGTTTCCACCGGTGGATATGAAATCTCTTATCCGTCACCTCCTTGGAACCCGATGTATGCTGAATAGCAGCAGGCAAACAGGCGTTTACAAGACTGATCTGGCTTCTTAATCACATTATAAGGTGAAATAACTGCTTGTTTATTTTGTTTTATTAAAAATAGCTTGGCTGCTGGGAGGAAGGGGCATCAATATTTTTTTTCGGGAAAAAACTGTCCTTGTGTCTAGTTGTTCTGGTGTGCAGTGCTCTATAGCGTCGTTTTGAGGGTAGGAGTTAAAACAGTTTATGTCCAGGATGCGAGGGGTCTGTAGATATTTTCACAGCCCTATTTTTGACTCGTGCAGTATACAGATCCTCCATGGAAGGCAGGTTGGTAGCCATGGTTTTTTCTGCAGTTCTAACCATCCGTTGAAGTCTGTGCCTCTCTTGTTGGGTTGCAGAGCCAAACCAGACAGTTGTAGAGGTGGAGATGACACACTCAAAGGGTATCAAATCTATCAAGCTTTGTGATCCGTTACCTTGGAAGGAAATCGGGGCTGCAGCCAGCCAGGAAAGCAACTGAGATGGGAAAAGTTAGGCTAATCAGATTCCAGGTTGTCCCAAAGGTGCTTTTTCAAGAGAAAACTGGGACTTCTTGGTTTTTCTTTGGAGACGTTTCACTTCTCATCCAAGAAGCTTCTTCAGCTCTGGATGATGAATAGTTTTCCATCAACGGAAAGATGGCTGGGGAACCTGCTTCATGGGACAGTAGGGAAATTCAGACCCAGTGGTGGTATTCAGCCGATTCGTACCGGTTCGCCCGAAGATAGTGGAGATTGCGGGTGGGCTTGCCCACCTGCCCCTATTTAACCATGTTTTCGAGGCTGGGCACATGCGTGGAAGGTGCATGCATGAAGCAACTGTGTGCCCACGGGGCGAACCAGTGGTAAAAATCTTCGAAACCCACCTCTGCTCAGACCAGGGGCGGGTTCCAAATCCCGTCGCTACCGGTTCGCTCATACGCGGACGCGCGGTGCTTCTGGCGGGTGGGCGGAGCCTGCCACCACCGCTACAGGTTTGCCCGATCCGATGGGAACCGGTAGCACCCCACCACTGACTCAGACGCAGCCAATGATCCTTCAGGCGAATTAATTAATGCAACAACAGCAGCAAGTTATCAATCAGTTTATTGGCTACATTTGCATACAGGCGAATGTGACAATATCAAACAAGCTTCAAAAAGGAGTGGAAATTTTTTTTGTTTTTGTTTTTTTTTAAAAAAGTCATATTTTGGTGACCCTGAGCAACCCCAAAATTTCAGTTTAAATTGAACGGAGTTTAAAGGCTAAACTACCCCTTTAGCAAAAATTCCTCAAAAGCCTCTCCAATAGGCAGCGCGCAGGTAGTTCTCGGTTTACAACAAATTCAGAGCAAAATGCCTTGTCGCTAAGCAAGGAGGCTGTTCAGTGAGTGGCGCCTGATTTTATGACCTTTTTTATTTTTTTGCCCCCACTGTTGTTAAGCGAATCAGTGTAGTGGTTAAGCAAATCCGGCTTCCCCTTCCATTGACTTTGCTTGTTCGAAGCTGCCTGGGAAAGTCACCAATGGTGCTCAATTTTGATGACATGATTGTGGAGATGCGCCGGGATGGTCATAAGCATGGGAACCGGTCGTAAGTCGCCTTAGCGCTTTTGTAACTTCAAACAGTTGCTATGAGAATGGTTATAAATCGAGGATTACCTATATTCCAGGTAACACTTAAGTCGGCTGCCATTTTTACATGTAGTACAAAAAAATTATCTCAAACATTATTTCCCTGGCTACGTGTGCCAATTGGCGTCCCTAAATAAATCACACGTCAGACTCCAACCTGTAGTTTGTACTTGAGAGAACCAGCGGTGAATCCTCTGAAGTCTGCTACTACCGGTTCTGTGAATTTGCTACCGAGTGCGTGCTTTGTGAGCGCATGCGCGCCTGAGGTACACCCGTGCAGTGCTAAAAAAGGAACATTTTGAAGCCTTCCGAGTCTGCAAAGGTAAGTAGAACAGCGACGGGGGGTGGGGAATCCGCTGTGCCACGCGATTTAGATTAGCTAGAAAGCAGAAAATCTGATGATTCTAGCTAATATAAATCACATGTCACAGCTGATCGTCACCCAGCCGAACTGGTAGCATTTTTTACTACCGGTTTCTCCCGAACTGGTAGCAATTTTTACTACCGGTTCGCCTGACCTGGTAGTATTTTTTACTACCGGTTCGCACGAACTGATCCGAACCGGTAGCATTTCACCTCTGGAGTGAACCAAGCCAGATTGCAGATTTGGGGGGTATTCCCTAAAATATCTGAATTGTCCCTCACGTTCTAAAAATCCTCAAAAATTAGCTCTCCTGAAGGTTATTTTAGGATTGAACACTTGTACCACCAAGGAGAGGTGGTTTTATTTGCTTTGGTTTCTGAATGTGAGGTAGCATCAAGACTTTTTACTCATAACCCCGTGCCCTGGAGTGCTACAGAGTTACATCCTTTCCGAACAAGCCAGGATTTAGCTCTCCCCATCTCCCCACTTAACCGTGAGAGGGACCTTGGAGTCTTAGTGGACAGCCAGATAAATATGAGGCAGCAGTGTGTGGCGGCAGCCAAAAAAGCCAATGCAATCCTAAATTGCATTAACAGAGGGATACAATCAAGATCAGGAGGGGTGGGTACTAATACCACTCAATAAAGCTTTAGTGAGACCACACCTAGAGTACTGCATCCAGTTTTGGTCACCACACTATAAAAAATATTGAGATTATAGAAACAGTGCAGAGAAGAGCAACCGGGATGATGAGGGGACTGGAGGCTAAAATATACGATGAACGGTTGCAGGAACTGGGCATGGCTAGTCTAGTGAAGAGAAGGACCAGGGGAGACATGAAAGCAGTGGTCCAATATTTGAGGGGCTGCCACAGAGAGGAGGAAGGGGTCAAGCTATTCTCCAAAGCACCTGAAGGCCAGACAAGGAACAATGGATGGAAACTGAAGAAGGAGAGATTCAACCTGGAAATAAGGAGGAATTTTCTGGCAGTGAGAACAATCAACCAATGGAACAGAAGTTGCCTTCGGAAGTTGTGGGAGCTTCATCACTGGAAGCTTTCAAGAAGAGACTGGACAGCCACCAGTCAGAAATGGTGTAGGGGCTCCTGCTTGGGTGGTGAGGTTGGACTAGATGACCAACAAGGTCCCTTCCAACTCTGTTAATCTGTTAAAGAAGACAGATGAGATTTGCCCATCACATTAATTCTTATTTAGCCTTGGCTGGGGTGTCATTATGACTTGTAAAACCTCCTAGTTCATCCCTTAGCAAACTGTGCGATTCCATCTATGGTTCCTTCAACAAACCCAGGATTAGACAAAGAAGGACTCGGCTGATGTTAGAGCCATTTTTTCAACTAATTTTTAAATAATGTGTGGTCTGTAAATTCAACTGCAAGAATGCAACACAACCAGACAAGTTGTGTTGCCCTCATCGGTATGTTCAGAATCCAGAAAAGGATATCTGGAATATTTATTTAGCAATGCCAGAAAAAATATTTTGATAGAGGGAGAGGGGTGGGTGGGCAAGAAAGATTGAATGAAGCAATCTATTCCAGTCAGTGATTTCCCTTGTTCCTCAGTTACAAAAGGTAGAAATTTAAAACTTCCGGCTGATTTTAATTAATTTAAGGCATAATTGTAATTGTCTATAATTTCCCCGTTCAAATGGGCCAGTGAAGAGGAGCATCATTCCACACCATCTGAACTGTACAGGTAGTCCTCGACTTATGATCACAATGGACGCCCCCCGCCCCCCCAAAAAATTTAAGTTGTTAAGCGAGACATTTGTTAAGTGGGTTTTGCCTCATTTTATGACTTTTCTTGCCACAAATCTTTTTAAGGGATTCACTTGCAATTGTTAAAGTTAGTAATACAGGTCGCTAAGTGAATCTGGCTTCCCCATGGACGTTGGTCGCAAAAGGGGATCACGTGACCCCGGGACACCGCGGCCGTCATAAATATGAGTCAGTCTCAGTTTTGATCACCGGACCTTGGAGAGGCTGCAACAGTCGTGTGAAAAAGTCACTGCTGTTGTAACTCGGACTAGTCATTAAATGAACTGTTGTAAGTCGAGGACTACCTGTAGGAAAGGGGGGGTTAGTCGAAGGCTACGAGGTCTTGAGGTGATGGTGGTTGTGTGTTACATTCAGACCGGTGGGCTTATTTTTGGGGAAGGCAGGTTTATCTCCAAAGATAATAAGTTGTTATTTCTTCCTCTGTGAATGCAGGTTGTCCTCGACTTATGACCTCAATTGACACTCCCCCATTGTTGTTGCCGAGACATTTGTTCAGTGAATTTTGCCCCATTTTATGACCAAGCACCTGAATTTCGACCACAGGACCATGGGGGACGCCTGCAAGGGTTCTTAAGTGTGAAAAAATGGTCATAAGTCACTTTTTTGGGGGAGCATTGTATCTTTGAATGGTCACTAAATGAACTGTTCTAAGTCGAGGACTACCTGTAAGTCTTCACCTCTGGGCGAGATGCATTTAACTTGCACCTTTTTGGGTTTTTTTTTAATCTTGTTATTTGGTATTTTTTTCTGTGATATAGCATGCCTTATTTTAATCGCGATGCTTCCAATGCGAATAAATGAAACTTAAAAATTGTCTTTTACCTACTTCAAACGTTCACCTTACTACTGGGTGACCCTGATTTTCAAGGCCTACAAGGAAAGGAGCATCAAATCTCAAACCATCCGTGATTGGGGGGGGGGGTTTCCCCCATTTTGCCAGCTTCAATCTTGCTCTTTTGCCTGGCTCCACAACACACAGCGCAACACACAGACACACACAAATGGAGGAAGGAAAAAAAACACACACACCACACACTCTCAGATGATAAAGCTTTTCCCTGGGCTGTATCTCTTAATGCTCTTACGACCTCCCTTCGTTTTCATCTTGAACGGTGAGCCTAAGGCTCAGTTCTTTTAAACAATTTAAAAGGAATGCCCGCATGGAGAATTCTTTGGCAGTGTTTTAGGCGGATCAATTATACATTTGAAAACAATTGATCAAACAACCTCACGCTGGGCCAACATGGGAGCTGTCATTTAGAAGTAAGCAGGGGAAGCACGAGAATAAATAAAAGGTGCCAGACAGCTAAAAGCCAACTGCACAGTTTATATACACCTGTTGAAAAGGGCCTGTATGGCATTCCAAATAATTAGGTAAAGGTTCCCTCCTCGGACATACGTGCTAGTCGTTCCTGACTCTAGGGGGCGGTGCTCATCTCCATTTCAAATCCGAAGAGCCAGCGCTGTCCGAAGACGTCTCCGTGGTCATGTGGCTGGCATGACTCAATGCCAAAGGAGCACGGAACGCTGTTCCCTTCCCACCAAAGGTGGTCCCTATTTTTCTTACTTGCCTTTTTTACCTGCTTTCGAACTGCTAGGTTGGCAGAAGCTGGGACAAGTCACGGGAGCTCACCCCGTTACGCGGCACTCGGGATTCGAACCGCTGAACTGCCGACCTTTCGATCGACATGCTCAGTGTCTTAAGCCTCTGAGCCACCGCGTCCCTGGTCCAAATAATTAAGGATATCCAGAAAGATCCCAGGTAAAATCATGACATGGGACTTTCCTTTTATATATTTAGAAAGGGAGGCCTGTCTAAATCAGGTAGAAAAACTGGTTTCCTACAAATTCACCGGCTGCAAAGATTTAAAAACAAAACTTCTCTGTGAAGGTAACGTCGGCCATCAGAACAGACCAGCTACTCAAATCCTTTCTCAAATAGGGCTTATTTTGCCATCATCCCCCTCTTAGTAACAGTAACAGTGTTGGGAGAGACTTTGGAGGTCATCTAGTCCAGCCCGCTGCTCACACAGGAGACCTATAACTAGGGATTCGAACCGCCAAACTGCCAACCTTTCTGATCCGACAAGCTTAGCGTCTTAGCCACTGAGCCACCTAGTCAGGTTCTCAATTTATCGTGCTCTGGTTGGGGACTGTATTGATAAGAGACAAGAGAATTGTGGAGTTTTTCCAAGGAAAGTTGTGACATGTAATCCCATCAGTGAAAAATGGAGGGCTCTTTTAAATGACACCCTTACAACTCTGAGAGGGATGTTCTCGTATTAAAGGAGGTGCACTCGGGGTAGCGTAAGGAGATTTACACCTGTTTGCAAGACTGCTGCTTGACCGCCTTTTTTCTTGTGGGGGGTCCTTGGTACTCTCTGAACTTGGCTGCTTTGTGTGCAAATCCCTCTCCCTTCTAGCACTGATGATGTTACTTAGTTGGGTCATGAAATGTCTGCATGAAAACAGCCAAGCACAGAGAGCACAAAACTCTGAGGAGAGCCCATGGTTTAGAGGTTTTATACATCTACCTAATATGCACTGGAACTGGGTATGTCTAGTTTGATGAAAAGAAGGACTAGGGGAGACAGGATAGCAGTGTTCGAATATCTCAGGGGCTGCCCCAAAGAAGAGGGAGTCAAGCTATTCTCCAAAGCACCTGAAGGCAGGACAAGAAGCAACGGGTGGAAACTCATCAAGGAGAGAAGCAACCTAGAACTAAGGAGAAATTTCCTGACAGTGAGAACAATTAACCAGTGGAACAACCTGCCTCCAGAAGTTGTGAATGCTCCAAAACTGGAAGTTTTTAAGAAGAGATTGGATAACCATTTTGTCTGAAGTGGTGTAGGGGGTTGGACTAGAAGACCTCCAAGGTCCCTTCCAACTTTGTCATTCTGTATGCTTAGCTGCTCCAAGGAAGCCTGATTGACTTTAACAGAATTTATTCCCTGCTTGGTGGACGTAAAAAAAAAGACATTAAAAGAAAAATAATGCTTTGGGAGCATAATATCACACGAAGAAGAATTCAGTCTTAGACAAGCATGACTAATCAGCCTCCCACGAGGCGCAAGAATGACACTGCTGTCACTTCCCACAAATGTTGTAACACCAAAACACACACCAAATTCCACACTCCAGAAGACAGCAAAGGGAAGCGTTTCGCTAAATCAGAGTTCTCCAGCCGTACCCCTTTTATATGTTTCCCACCCTCTTTTTCCCCCGCTTCAGATTCCAGAAAGAACATCGCATCGGTCGTTAAAGTAATTTTTAAAAGAAACCCCAAGGAAATTTGGAATAAATGAGATTCTTGATCAATAAATCGAGGCCATGTAACAAAACAAGGCCCATGTCACGAAACTGGGCTTCAAACCAGGTTTCGTTATACGGCCAGGAAAAGAAAGGCAGAAGCAATGATCTGATTTTAAGGATTTTCCATCAGCCCAATAACGGCGAGCGCGCAGAATTCTCCCTATTTTTACAGGCACCTCTGTAAAAAGAAAACCAACCACCCCACATTCTATACCGGTGATAGCTAACCTTTTTGCCATCATGTGCCAAAAGCCGGAGGGGGGGAGCATGGGGGTGGGGGTGTCGCCCACACATGTGCCCACACCCATAATTCAATGTGCCCCGCCCCCCGCACATGAGACTCCCCCGCATTCCCTCCACTTCTGACACATGATGGCACGGTGGGCCTGGTAGGCCCGTTTTTTTGCCCTCCCCAGGCTCCAGAGTCTTTCTTGGGGGGTGGGACCGGAAGTTGGGAAACGGGCCCTTTCCGGCCTCCAGGGGGGGTGGGGAAGGCCGTTTTCATCCTCCCCAGGCTCCTAGAAAGCTTCAGGAGCCTGGGGAGAGCGAAAAAGAGGCCTTCCCCACCACACCCCTGAGGCCCTCCAGAGGCCGGAAGTAGCCTGTTTCCCAACTTCTAGTGGGCTCGGAAGGCCCAAAAATCAGTTGGCGTGCCGGAGCTGAGGTAGGGCAACGCTTGCGTGCCCACCGATATGGCTCCGGGTGCCACTTGTGGCACATGTGCCATAGGTTCCCCATCACGGTTCTATACAATCACAAAATGCTTCCAAATAGCTAACGCTGTATTAAAAGATAGCACGGCATCGCCAGTACTGAATTGTGACTTTTTTTCCTCACTCTTGTCATTTCATCGCTTCGCCTTCCAGCTCAAGGAAAGGCGGAAAAATAGAAGTGTTAACCATGCATGATTCTCCAAAGTGCTCTGTGATTTTCAATAAGCGAGTTAAATAATTGTGTGTATGTGTGTGGGGGTGGAAATAGTGGTTTCCGCTCAAGGAGGTATGTGATTTTGGCCCCCCTCCCTCTCCAAAACCAGCACAGATCCCTTTGTGCAAAAAAAAAAAAAAAAAAAAAAAAGATCTTGTTTTTAAGATAAGAGTCTCCTTTTTCTATTCGAATGCTTCTGTTCTGGATTTTGTGCACACCCAAAAAAGTGTGGGTTTTTTTTTTCTCCCCCTTTCTTCTTTTTCTTCCACGAATGGTACAGGGATCTAGGCAAAGAAGGATCTTGAATCTTGAAATGCTGACTGGGTTCTTGCCTGACAGACGGGCAAGATTCATTTTCATTTCCGTAGGAAAGTGATTATATCTGCAGCTGAAACTGGTAACTGCTGGTTTTCCATTGGGTGATATCGGCATTCAGCATCGTCCTTTCGGTGAAGGTGACCTGTCCTTCCCCGTCGACGAGGATGACCGTGTTCGCTCTGAAAAAGAGGGAAGAAATTTATTGACCGGCACAAGTACAGGTGGTCTTTGACTTACAAATAGTTCCTTTAGTGACCTACGCTTACTAAGTCATTACAATACACAATTAGTCCCCAAAACCCCCTATTTTTATTGTAACAGCTGAGAATTATTCATTCCCAGCTGAGTCCCAATTAGTTGCCAAAAACAAGTCCTTCAGAAGAAGTCCTTCGGGATAATCACCAAACTTTATCTTCTTTGACACCCTGCCAAAGGCCTTACTTGGCAAAGCCCCACAAAGTTCAGAAACAAACAAGACATGCCGACTGGAAACCGAGTTAGCAATGTTGCTTTCCTGCAAAAAGGCCCAAGTGCCTTTGTTTCTCTTTTAAGCCTTATGGGAGGGGCCAATCATCTCCTGGCATTTCACCACTAGGCAAAATTCACAAACATTTTGCTTAACCACAGAAATCTGAGGCTCCATTGTGGTCATAAATCGAGGACTACCTGCATTGTGCTCTGCTTTTAGGACCCTAAGCAGTCCACCGCAAGAGAGAAAAAAATAACAACATACGCATCACACTAATGCAACAAATTCAATCGCAGTTCAAAAGCGAAAAGGATATAAAAGACGCATTAGGTTTCAAAACCATCCCGAGCATTATTAATAATTTTTCAATGCTCTTCTAAACAGTCAGGATTTTTGCTCCACCGAAGGACAGAGGGGGATGATTTATTTCAAGCAAGATTAAGGGAGTTCTGATGTAATCATCTTCAGGGTTCCTAATTTTTCATTCGTCTGTCCATCCCCTTAGTCATGTAGCAACGAGAGAAACAAGCTGGAGACAGATGGAAAATTGAATATGGGGTTGAAAAACAAAACAAAACAGGGGAGCAACTTAAGATCCCGTCTCTTTGCTTTACACAATAGAATTCTGGACCTTTGGCCTGATTTTATTAGAGATTTGTTGGGTGGAAAAGGCTAATTTTTAAAGTAGAAGCAGAATAGCAATATCACTTGGACTTATATACCGCTTCACAGCCCTCTCTAAGCGGTTTACAGAGTCAGCCTCTTGCCCCCAGCAACCTGGGTCCTCATTTTTACTGACCTCAGAAGGATAGCAAGCTGAGTCAACCAGAAGGAAGGGAGGGAGGGAGGAAGAAAAGAAGGAGAAAAGGAAAAGCTATACTTATATACCGCTTCACAGTGCTTTACAGCCTTCTCTAAGCGGTTTACAGAGTCAGCCTCTTGCCCCCAACAATCTGGGTCCTCATTTTACCGACCTTGGAAGGATGGAAGGCTGAGTCAACCTTGAGTTGGACACGATTGAACTGCTGGCAGTCAGCAGAATTAGCCTGCAATACTGCATTCTAATTATTGTGCACCATGGATGGATGGATGGATGGATAGTTTTGTCCCGGCAAAACCCCTTTTATTTATACGACTGTGAATTCCTTTCATTCACAGTCAGCAAGGCCTGGCAAACAGTCTTTCAGAGGAATATTTATCAACACAGACCTTATCTTGCTTGGAAGGCTGCTAAGTAACTTAGTTTCCAAACGCAGGGCAAGGCAAAACTTGGTACAGAGTCATGGACAGATCTTCCCACTCTTGAAACGACCGACCAAACGAATTGTTTCCTGCAAAAGCCCCCTCCCCATTCACTCCTCTTTTGTTTTCTATGGGAGGGGCCAATCACCTCCAAGGTGTGGCTTTACTCCTAAGTCGACTCTGCTTTCTGAGTTGTTTTTGTCTTCTGGCAGCTCTGCGCATGCGGACACTGGGAACAAGCTCCAGCTGTTCCTCTGCCTCACTGTTGTCTATCTCTCTCTCTGCCTCCGACGCACAGCCCTTGTCCGAGCTTTCCCCAGCCCCCAGGACTGGCCCATGTTCCTCCCCACCTCCTCACTGTCCGACTCTGCTGCCTGCTCCACCGGCTGCCGGTGGGTCACAACAGAGAGAGGCTGCCTATTACTTTTTCACTGGCACCTCCGCCGCCCTGCTAAATCAATTCTCAACGGAAATTGTCCTTGTTTGTGTCTTTATATCGGGCCAAATTCAGGATTTATGACACCCTCTTCGAGCAGAGGGAGGGAGGGAAAGAAGACGGATAAACCAAAGCAAAGGTTTGCCTCTTGGCTTCCAGATAATATTGGATTTTGATTTATAATCACTTTATCTTGGTCGGATGTTTACCCCCGAAAGGTAATAATTGTAATCAATAAATTATAACGGACGATCAATTGAAAATCACCATGTTTTCCAGGTGGGTCTGGACCAGAAAGAAAAGGGCCTTCCTTCAAATTTTCCCTGCGTGGAACTTTGCTTTGCAGGATGCCTCAGGCCACAAATTGTGACTCTTGTCGGGTGTTTCTCGCCAAACTCTTTCGGGTTTTGTTTTTTTTTCATCTTTTGATCTATGGCAGCAAGTGCCTATTTTATCCCCAACCGTTGTGTTGAAAATAGGTGTATCAAAGTCTCCGCGTAATCAATTCCTTTGCAGGGATCCCAATAAATCTGGAGGAAACAATGGATTTATGTCTGAGAGCAGCAGTTTAATTTGAGGGGGTGGGCTGTGTCTTCCTGGGTTGGGGAGGGGGTCTTGATGGGATTTCTTCCTTTTAATGCAGAGTAGGTAAGCTCTGTACTGTAAAGGTAAAAATGGATGGGGTGTCCAAGACGCTGGGCTTATCGATCAAAAGGTCGGCAGTTCAGCGGTTCGAATCCCTAGTGCCGCGTAACGGGGTGAGCTCCCGTGACTTGTCCCAGCTTCTGCCAACGTAGCAGTTCGAAAGCAGGTAAAAAGTGCAAGTAGAAAAATAGGGGCCACCTTTGGTGGGAAGGGAACAGCGTTCCGTGCGCCTTTGGCGTTGAGTCATGCCGGCCACATGACCACGGAGACGTCTTCGGACAGCGCTGGCTCTTCGGCTTTGAAACGGAGATGAGCACCGCCCCCTAGAGTCAGGAACGAGTAGCACGTATGTGCGAGGGGAACCTTTACCTTTATTAACATAATTTCCACACAAAGCTGAGCTTTGTCTTCTGTTTTTCTAGCCATGCCTCCACACAGCCTTCTCGTTTCTTCTCTTCCCCTCGCACCCCATTTCCTGTTTCTGAAATTTCTGAAATGGAGCGAGGGGAATGGGGTGCTGTGGTGTTCTGACCTAGGCATTCCCAAACCACAAAGCAGACTCCTTGTCCCGACAAAAAACCCTTTTTATTAAGGTACTGTGAATTCTTCTCATTCACATCCAGCAAAGTCTTTCAAGGGTGAATTTACAGTCACAGAACTTATCTGGCTTGGAGAACTGCCAGGCCGATATCTTCAAAACTTAGCAAGAAATCTCTGAGAGTCACAAACCAATTATGCGAATTAATTGTCTCCTGCAAACTCCACTCCCCCTTCGCTCCTCTTTATTCCCTCTGGGAGGGGCCATTCATTGTCCACCTGTGGCTTTACTCCTGAGTTGACCCTTGTTCCTTAGCTGTTCCCTTCTCCTGGCATCTCTGCACATGTGCACACTGGGAACAGGCTCCAGCTGTTCATCTGCCTCACTGATGTCCAACTCTGAAGGCAGCTGATAACTGGCATACGGCCCTGGCCCCCTCTCTGCCTCCGATGCAGAGCCCTCATCAGAACCCTCCCCAGACTCCATGACTGGCCCATGTTCCTCCCCAACCTCCTCACTGTCCGAATCTGCTGCCAACTCCGCTGGTGGGCCACAACACAGTCAGGGAGGACTGCATTTGCTTACAGGTTCTCTAAAACATAATTCAGATCGTGAAACTTTCCTCTTACCTGGTTCCATAATCTGGACATCGGACGCACAGAGCTGCGTACTTGTTTAGGAATGGAAGGACGTAATCCTTTCCCTGGTCCTCCATTGCAGGATCCGGAAGCTGACTGGACCAAAAAGAAGCCAAATCAGAGATCATGGAACTGAAATTCCCCACTTCCTGTGCTTAGATGGATCTTGATAGGTGTCATTGGGGTAATCTTGTAAATGGTACCGTGGTTTAGAGGTGGAGCTCTCGCCTCACAATCAGGAGGCTGTGAGTTCGATCCTAGGTAGAGGCTGATATTTCTCTGTCTGGGCACAATGAGAATATATCTGCTGTGAAATTCCGTACTGGTGACAGAAGGGCGTCCGGTCAGTAAACCTCAGCTCCATTCAGTTGCCCCGATTCCACCCCGCAAGGGATTATGGGGTCATTAAACGATGGGGAAAAAATAGGGGTAATCTTGTAGCTGTTTACTGGAGACACCTATACAGGTAGTCCTCGACTTACGACCATATCCGAGCCCAAAATTTATGCTGCTAAATGAGAAATTTGTTAAGTGAGGTTTGCCCCGTTTTACGACCTCTCTTGCCACAGTTGTTAAGTGAATCACTGCGGTTGATAAGCCAATTGTTAAGTGAAACTGGCTTCCCCGTGCTGGTCCGAGGGCCGCGAAAGGGGATCGTGTGACTCCGGGACGCTGCCACCGCCGTCAATACGAGTCAGTTGCCAATCGTCTGAATTTTGGACACGTGACCATGGGGATGCTACAAAGGTCATAACTATGGAAAAAAGAACCAGTCGTAAGTCCCTTTTTACAGGGCTGTTGTAACTTGGAAGGGTCACTAAATGAACTGTTGTAAGCCAAGGACTACCTGTACAATTGTTGTCAAGAGCCCAAAATGGCAAGCCGGTCTTAGGGATAGGTACTCACAGAGAAGGGCGGGAAGCTGAGTTTCTGATTCCGAGTGTGTGCGGATGCGCATGCACACCAGGAAGCTGCTCTTCCAGTTTCCGGCATCCGACATGCACAAAGACCAGCTGGCCGGCACGTATGTGCATGCCAGAACCCGGAAAAGCAACAGGCGATGGCTGGCATGCCCGGAAAGATGGCTCTGTGTGCCACTTCCGGCACGTGTGCCATAGGTTCACCATCACTGCTCTATTCTATTCTATTCTATTCTATTCTATTCTATTCTATTCTATTCTATTCTATTCTATTCTATTCTATTCTATACTATACTATACTATACTATACTATACTATACTATACTATTTCTATTCTATTCTATTCTATTCCAAATGCATATTCATATTCTATTCTATTCTACATTCTATATTCTATTCCATTCCAATATATTCTATTCTATTCTATTCCATTCCATTCCATTCCATTCCATTCCATTCCATTCCATATATATTCTATTCTATTCTATTCCATTCCATTCCATTCCATTCCATTCCATTCCATTCTATATATATTCTATTCTATTCTATTCTATTCTATTCTATTCTATTCTATTCTATTCTATTCTATTCTATTCCATTCCATTCCATTCCATTCCATTCCATTCCATTCCATTCCATTCTATTCCATATTTTATATACTATATTCTATATTCTATTCCATTCCATATATATTCTATTCTATTCTATTCTATTCTATTCTATTCTATTCTATTCTTTTCTATTCTTTTCTATTCTATTCCAAATTCATATTCATATTCTATTCTATTCTATTCCTATTCTATTCTATTCTATTCTATTCTATTCTATTCTATTCTATTCTATTCTATTCTATTCCATTCCATTCCATTCCATTCCATTCCATTCCATTCCATTCTCTGGATGGGGACCATTCCGCCAGCAAGTAAGTCGGTCTATAAGTCAAGGCAGGGGAAGTGAGGATTCTCCAGATGTTGACAGCCTACAACTCTCAATATCTCAGACACTTGGACATCTGCAGTCCCACCCAGAGAACGATTTGGAACAAAGCAAGAGAAGATACGGAGCCTTACGGGTCCTGGTTATTCATCAGTTTAATCAGTTCCTGGACCAGGTCTTCTTTCTTGAGATTCTGGCTGTGCTTGATGACATCTGAGAAAAGCTGTTTTCCGTACTGAAGTTTCTTCCAGGGCGTATCCAGCAAAGAATTGCTCAAGCCGTATACCCCTGTGTGGCGAGACCAAATCTACCTTCAGGCGTTTCGCAATGAAACATGAAGAAGATGCCCACAGCAGTTGCTCACCTTGGTGAGAAGTTCACGACACGAACAAAAATCAAGCTACAGTAGAGGCCGAAATTGTGGGAACCTTTTGGGGAAAAGTGTGTTTTCTCAAACTAGCTAATAACGCCACTTTTTTTTTTTTGGAGCAGTACCATAAAATTATATATCCATGGAAAGATACTTTAATCAAGAATTAATGCAATAACTTTTATGAAGGATTTGCTATTAGAATAGCAGTTAAAGTATAAAGAAGAAAAGTGTAACACATAAAAAAAAAGAGATATACAAAAATGATCACCACAGAAAAAACGAGATATACAAAAATGATCACCATAGAAAAAACGAGAAATACAAAAATGATCACCATAGAAAAAATGAGATATACAAAAATGATCACCATAGAAAAAACGAGATATACAAAAATTATTGCCATGTCAGTTAATTCTTAATTCGGTAACCTTTAGCATGAATGATGGCCTTACAACGTCTTCCCATGGAGTGAACCAAGTCTTTTAGTTCTGCAGCTGTTCTAATGTGAAACCAAGATTGAATGATGGCTTCTATTAACTGGGTTTCATTGCTGGGTTGCTTCTGACTAACAAGTTCCTTTAGTGGGCTCCATAGATTTTCAATTGGGTTAAGGTCTGGGCTATTCCCAGGCCGTTCCAGCAGTGGAATAGGATGATCTTGGAAACTCCCCCAAAAAAGTGGCATTATTAGCCATCAAACCTCAAAAATACACTTTTCGCAAAAGGTTTCCACAATTTTGGTCACTACTGTATGTTGGAGTAGAAACACGGAAACCGGGACAGCATGGCTCATCTCAGCTCAACTCTTGCTGCGCGTTAAATCTTTTTACCTCATGCGTGCAACTCAATTTTAGGGAACTTAAAATGCTGGGAGACAGCGAAGTTCTTGTGAAGCCACTTTGAGTTTACAGGGTAAAAAAGGGGGATTATGAACTAGACAGCAAGATATGCATTCACTGATTTTGCTTAGGGGAATAAAAAACCCCGATACAATAATGGATAATCTGGAAGGTTTATATGTTTGGAACAGCTTGCTAAAAAAAAAAGAGAAGCTTCAATGCAACAACGAGGCTTTGTTATCCGGAGGCCTGTAGTTTTGCCACAGATAAGCTGGGAAATAAAAGCCTCAATGCCACGTGTCCCAGTATGATAAAAATCACTTTGCTGGGCACAGAATACTCTAAATGGAAATGGCTAATGGCAGGTTCGCAGTTATCTTACCCAGCAAAAAGGTTCATTAGGGCTGTTTGATCAAAAGAATTCCCTGTTTGTTTTGTTCTCGGAGCTGGGTTATCACAAAAAGGCCCCAAATATACACACAATAACAATAGCACTTAGACTTATATACCGCTTAACAGTGCTTTACAGCGTCTGTGTCAGTATGTTGCCCCCTACAATCTGGGTCCTCATTTTACTAACCTTGGAAAGATGGAAGGCTGAGTCAACCGGAAGGAAGGAAGGAAGGAAGGGAGGGAGGGAGGGAGGGAGGAAGGAAGGAAGGAAGGGCAGTAGCAATAGCCCTTAGACTTATATACCGCTTCACAGTGCTTGCCAGCCATCTCTAAGCGGTTTACAGAGTCAGCCTATTGCCCCCAACAATCTGGGTCCTCATTTTACCAATCTTGGAAGGATAGAAGGCTGAGTCAACTTGAAGGAAGGAAGGAAGAAAGGAAGGAAAGAAAGGAGGGAGGGAGGGAGGGAGGGAAGAAAGTAAGGAATAGCAGTAGCACTTAGACTTATATACCGCTTCACAGTGCTTCACAGCCCTCTCTAAGCGGTTTACAGAGTCAGTCTATTGCCCCCAACAATCTGGATCCTCATTTTAACCACTGCGGAAGGATGGAAGGACGAGTCAACCTTGAGCCTGGTGAGAATTGAACTGCCAAACTGCTGGCAGCCGGCAGTCAACAGAAATAGCCTGCAGTACTGTACTCTAACCCACTGCGCCACCATGGCTGTCACACAAGGGGAGATGCGGCATTGCAGAATGACAACAGTGGCCTTTTGCAATGCAAGCTTGGCCTTTTGGGGTTGGATGATGTTTGTGTTACAACACCATTACTACTACTTAGGCCGCCTGCTCTCAACCTCCTTGAATGAGTTCTCCTACGTGTCAATCTTTCAGGGAAGATCAGATCAGAAACAGACTCCAGAGTGGCTTGAAACTACGTTGATTAAACTGGATCATTAAAAACCCAACCCTGCAAATTTGAAAGGGCTTCCCTTTCTCCTCCTTTGTAAAATGTATAACTTACGTAAATTATTGGGGGGGGGGGAGGAAATTACCTGAGAAGGTTCTTTTTGGTAACATTGCCTTCTCATTAGGCAGGGGTATCAAATTCAATTTCATTGAGGGCCGTATCAGGGATGTGGTTGTACCTCGGGGGAGGGGAGGGGGCGTGACCGACTGGGTGGGCGTGGCCAGCTTGACGCCACTCCCCAAACTGCTGGCATGTTTCTTCTGTCAACTCATAAAGCATTCCTGGATACCTTTCTCAAGGCCGCAGCCTACATTACCAGAGGCACCCGGAGAGGCGTGTTTTCTACAGCCCGCGAAAGTGCTCCATTGGAGAATGTGATTTATGACACACCCTGGGAGGATTGGGGGGGAAACAGGGTCATAGTTGGGAGGTAAATTATGTGGAGCAGAGCTAACTTCACTTGGGTATGTGCTGACATGTTGGTCCTGATAAATAACTGGATTTCTTTTGAAACTTGGCTTGAGGCTCATGAATTAATTAGGGCATCCGTTGGAACCCTGTCCTCTTTGCATTGGGTAGACCGGCCCCCGCAGGCCGGATCTGACAACATTGTGAGCTGCATCTGGCCCATGGGCCTTGAGTTTGACACCCTGTCATTAGGGCTTATTTCTGTTGCTAAGCAATGTGGTTAATGGACGTTAAGCGAATCACGAGGCCGTTAAGGAAATCCGGCTCCCCCCCCCGGATTTTGCTTGTTGGAATCACACTGGGAAAGCCGCAAATGGCGATCCCATCACCCTGGATGCTGCAACATCTGAATTTTAATCGTGAGACCATGGGGAGGTAAGTGTGAGGAGCGGCTGTAACTCACTTTCTCCAGTGTAACTTTGGTCACTAAAGGAATGGATGTAAGTCAAAGACTACCTCTAATGTGTTCTCCCTGAATGATTGTTCTCCAGATGTATTGTACAACAACTCTTCATCATTCACACGAAAAACCATCAACACATATCCCAACCTGCAAGTCACCTTGACACTTGCGGTGTTAACAAACTGAACATTAGAAATAGAAGCCTTTCTGGATTTTAGTCAACCGTCCAACCTTGGCAAGTTTAAGACCGGTGGTCTTCAACTCCCAGAATTCTCGGCTGGCTGAGGAATTCTGGGAGTTGGAAGTCCACCGGTCTTAAAATTGCCACGGTCCAAAGCAAGCAGTAGCTGCCCACCTCGGAATCAGGGGTGGGCTGCTTGGGGTTTGCAGGGGTTCGGAAGAACCTCTAGCTAAGATTCTGTGCAGTTCGGAGAACCCCCAAATCCCATTCCTGGCTGGCTCCGCCCCTCCCACCCCTCCCAGGAGTCCCCACGCGGCCCATTTTGGATGCAGGTAAGTGCAGGGCGCATGCCGAGACTCGGGGAGAGCGAAAAACGGGCCTACCGGAAGTTCAGAAAGGTCGGAAATGGGCCCGTTTCCAGTCTCCAAAAGACCTCTGGAACCTGGGGAGGCTGTATTCGCCCTCTCGGAGGCTCAAGGAAAGCCTCTGAAGCCCGGGGCGGGCAAAAACGCCCTCCCCCTGCCATGGCGCAGAAGGCTGATTGGGCCACGCCCACCATGGCCACGTCCGCCCAGCAACTGAGCAGAGAACCCCTTGCTAAAATTTTTGAAGCCCACCCCTGCTCTGAATTTCTCAAAATATGACATATATCCCTTGGTCTTCATGTCCATCATGGCAAAACACACACATCCAGGTATGCAGCCAAACCACTGCTTTAAATAAATCAAGGTAACCATGTTTCTGGTTTTGTTTGTTTTTTTAAAAATTTAACCCACCGGGATTTAGGAAGAGAGGTTCTGGGTCTCCTTTGTTTCCGTAATAGCAAATTACATCTCCGTTATTGGTGCTAAAAGATAAAAATAGAAGAAGTAGTAGGGAAAAAAAGTTCTTCTTGTAAAAACTGGCAGCTTAAATCTTTGATTCAGTTCTACTTATCCTTTATTTGAACATTGTCATTAACATCTACTACGTCTTTATTTAGTGATTGGCCCTTGGGCCATATCAAAAGTGCAAAGTTCCAGAAACAGATTATTACTAAAATTTGATAAAAGCAATTTAAAATGGAACTGGAATAAAATACGATTTAAAAAGGAATTGGAATAAAATACAGTCTAAAATGAAATTGGAATAAAATACAATAATTTAAGATATAGCTATACAATAAAATTATATTTTGGTGGGCCTCCCCTGCAATCTACCCCAATCGGTCCCAAATATGCCGATCTCAACTGAACCATTTTGCTTAAATACCATGCTGTGTTAAATGTTATTTTCAGATTCGGGCCGCACATAAGGGAAGTTGTTTTGATATGGTTATCCCAGTGGGTCATTTGTTTGGTATATAGACAGAAGTACTTGTCTCTCAAAAGGGACGTGGTGGCTCAGTGGCTAAGACACTAAGCTTGTCGATCAAAAGGTTGGCAGTTCAGAGGTTCGAATCCCTAGTGCCGCGTAACGGGGGGAGCTCCCGTGACTTGTCCCAGCTTCTGCCAACCTAGCAGTTCGAAAGCATGTAAAAAGTGCAAGTAGAAAAGTAGGGACCAACTTTGGTGGGAAGGTAACAGCGTTCCGTGTGCCTTTGGCACTGAGTCATGCTGGCCACATGACCACGGAGACGTCTTCGGACAGCGCTGGCTCTTCAGCTTTGAAACGGAGATGAGCACCGTCCCCTAGAGTCGGGAAGAACTAGCACATGTGTGCGAGGGGAACCTTTACCTTTACCTGTCTCTCATCCTCTTCTATAGGCAACAATCAAATAGGATGTGATGATTGTTGCCTTCTACCTCTGCCGCTCCGCAAATGGATTCAGTTCTAATGTTGTGCAATCTTTAGCCCAGCAAGATTTCCTCCACACCTCCCTCTGTTCAGAAATCAGCAAACTATTTTTCTTTTCTTCAAATGAATCTGGTGACATTTCTGCAGCAGGGACACCGGTTAAGAAAAGCGAGTGGAGGACTCCAGCACAAGGGGAAAAAAAAATATCTTTATAGATTTGATCAAATGAATCTGCTTTTAAAATTAACTAAAAAAAACCCAAAACCCAACACTTTTGAAATTAGCAGTTTAAGATCCGATGAGGAAAATCTTTTTGCTGGAAGGTAGGACATGGAATTGCCCGAGAGCAGCGAGCTTTTTCTGCCTTCGAAGTATTAAAAGAAAAGAAAATTCCATTTGTCCGGTGAGAATTTGATTATTCCCTCCCGGACGCTTCCATCTGCAATGTTAGAAGCATCTAAGATGGGTCCAGTATGCTAATTTAGCCCAGTTTCTTGTGGCAATTGCATTTAGTTGGTTATTAATATTTTCCTATGTATTTCACTGGATCAGTCATTGGATATTCTAATCACATCTCCTTCGTTGTAAAATCCATGCCTGCTATTTTTATCCTCCCGGGATAATCACCAACTGCATTCAAGAACCAATTAGATTTTTAAAAAAACCCACAAACTTAAAATTACCATACCATAAATAGGACTCAATGTCAACACACACCTATAGAATTAAGGAAGGAGGGCGGGGGGGAAGCCAAATCAACAGACCACCCAATCTTTACCGAAGGAAAAACATGCTGTGGAAGGGGGAAAAAAAAATAATAAGTCCATCAGCAGAATAAAATTATCTGTGTAGATGTGCATAATTAACTCGTCCCCAAACAAATGAAAAGTTAATTAGTCAAATATATGCAGTGATATGAATTAGACATCCATCTTCGGTACCATAAAACCTTCAGAGGGAAATTAACTAACTCCCTAATATTTGTTGAGCTTAAATAGAGGAAAGGCTCAGCTTAAAGGCAGATGTTTTTCGTCTAGTAGCGGAACGGTGGAGTCCGAAAGCATCGCCTCTCTTTTTTTTTTTCGACAGGTAAAACTGCAGGTGTGTTTTTGGCCACTTTGAGACCACCGACCGGGGGCCCTGGTGGAACAGGCAAGATTATTGCAAAAGGAAGTTCTACCAGCTCAAAACAAAACAAAAAAAAAAAAACTGGTTTTAAGGGAGAACAGGCCAGGTCTTGGCAACATGCATCACGAAAACCTGGAAACATGTTTTGCAGGCAAGCAAGCAAGCAAAGAAGCAGGTAGATGCTGTTAGCACATCAAAAATGAGCAAAGGAAGAAAGAAACAGGATAGATCTTAATAAAGGGGAATCGTTGTAGCTCAGGGTTGAAATGAGGAGCCCTTGGGGCTCTCTGACCTTGGTGGCTTTCTTGAAGACGTTTCACGACCCAACTAGGGAACATCGTCAGTGCTAGGAGGGAGTGGGGTTTGCAGGGGGGAGGAGGAGGAGGAGGAAGATGGGGTCCTTGGTGCTCTCTGAGCTTGGTGGTTTTCTTGCAGATGTTTCATGACCCAACTAGGGAACATCATCAGTGCTGGAAGGGAGTGGGGTTTGTGGAGAAGGAGGAGAGGAGGAAGAGGAGAAGAGGAGAAGGAAAGAAAGGAGGAGGAGGAGGAGAAAGTGGAAGAGAGAAGGAGGAGAAAAGAATGGAGGAGGAGAAAGAGGAGAAAGTGGAAGGAGGAGGAGAAAAGAATGGAGGAGGAAGAGCAGAGGAGGGAAGAATGGAAGAATAGGAGGAGGAGGAGGAAAGAAAGGAGGAGGAGGAAGGTGAGGAGGAAAGAATGAGGAGGAAAAAGAGGAGAAAGTGGAAGAGAGAAGGAGGAAGAGAAAAGAATGGAGGAGGAAGAGGAGAGGAAGAGGAAGAATGGAAGAAGAGGAGGAGGAAAGAAAGGAGGAGGAGGAAGGTGGAGGAGGAAAGAATGGAGGAGGAGGAAGAGGAGACAGAAGGAGGAAGACAGGCGGCGGAGGAGAAAAGAATGGAGGAGGAAGAAAGGAGGAGGGAAGAATGGAAGAATAGGAGATGGAGGAGGAAAGAATGGAGGAAGAGGAAGAGGAGGAAGTGGAAGAGAGAAGGAGGAAAATAGAATGGAGGAGGAAGAGAAGAGGAGGAGGAGGAAGAATGGAAGAAGAGGAGGAGGAAAGAAAGGAGGAGAAGGAAGGTGAGGAGGAAAGAATGGAGGAGGAAGAGGAGGAGAGAAGAATGGAAGAAGAGGAGAAGAAAGGAGGAGGAGGAAAATGAGGAGGAAAGAATGGAGGAGGAGGAAGAGGAGAAAGTGGAAGGGAGGAGGAGGAGAAAAGAATGGAGGAGGAAGAGCAGAGGAGGGAAGAATGGAAGAATAGGAGGAGGAGGAGGAGGAAAGAATGAAGGAGGAGGAAGAGGAGAAAGTGGAAGAGAGGAGGAGAATAGAATGGAGGAGGAAGAGCAGAGGAGGAGGAGGAAGAATGGAAGAAGAGGAGGAGGAAAGAAAGGAGAAGGAAGGTGAGGAGGAAAGAATGGAGGAGGAAGAGAAGAGGAGGAGGAGGAAGAATGGAAGAAGAGGAGGAGGAGGAAGAAGAGGAGAAAAGAATGGAGGAGGAAGAGGAGGAGGAGAGAAGAATGGAAGAAGAGAAGGAAAGAAAGGAGGAGGAGGAACATGAGGAGGAAAGAATGGAGGAGGAGGAAGAGAGAAAGTGGAAGAGAGAAGGAGGAGGAGGAAAGAATGGAGGAGGAAGAGCAGAGGAGGGAAGAATGGAAGAAAGAAAGGAAGAGGACTGTGGGGTCTTTGATACTCTCCGAGCTTGGCTGTCTGATGATGACAAAAGCACTAATGTTACCTAGTTTGGGTAATGAGACGTCTACAAAAAAAATAAATAAATAAAAAAACCCCAAACCCAGCCAAGGTCAGAGAGCACCAAGGACAGGTCGTTTTCTCCAAACACCTCCAAGCTTTTCAGGACGATCTTGCGAAGCTGCCGCTAGAGGTCTCGCTCCCCCTGATTAGCTTTCGGCATGCCAGCCTGGGAACAGTCAATTCCTCCAACAAGATCTTGAGTTTATGGAGCTGGCTCCCAGCATCGGGGAATCTTATCCTTCGCTCAGGAGATGCGCTTATTATTTATGGCGAGCAAACCACTTCAACACCGCGGTTGATAAATGGAGCCAATCTCCAGTTGCAATTTTTACATAATATGCAAGCTTTCCTCAACCAGCTCTCCCTGTGTGGGATTGAAAAGGGAGGAGAAAGGCTGCAGAAGTGTGTATGAGTGTGTTTGTGTTTTTAAGTGTTCATAGAGACGTTTCTGCACGACAGCAAAAACGAGAATTTTCCCGCGTTCCGTTTTTGTTAGCGAACGGAGGAGCCAGACATCCAAAAGATCATGAAAACAACAGTAGGCTTAGCAGCCCCCTCTCCCCCACCAAGACTAAGTTAATACAGGTAGTCCTTGACTTATGGCCACAATAGAGCCCCCCCCCGCCCCAGTGGTGGGATTCAAATAATTTAACAACCGGTTCTCTGCTGTAATGACCAGCTGGGTAGGTGTGTAGGCATGGTCAACTCAATGTCACTCACATCGATGGGCGCTTCACTTTAGCTGTTACAATGTAATAAGGGTTAACCAGAGAGGCAGTTTCTGTAAGCAGGGCAATAAAGATTAGGCTAGAAACACCACCAGAATGTTTCCTTCCTGCCTTCCTTACAGGATTAGCCCTGTAAAGTGGAAAAAAACAAAAGAAGATTTCTTCCAACAAGCAGTTCTCCAAACTGCTTAGAAAGTTAACAACCGGTTCTCCCGAATAAGTGCGAACTGGCTGAATCCCACTACTGCCCCCCCAATTTCCGTTGCTAAGCGAGACGTCTGTCAACTGAATTTTGCTCCAAGTGACGACCTTATTTTGTTGCGAAGTGAATCACTGCAGCGACGTGTGAATCTGGCTTCCCCGCTGACTGTTGCTGGCCAGCAGGTCGCAAAATGGGGAGATGACGTGACCCTTCTCCCCCCTCCCGGTGGGATAGTGTAACCGTCGT